TAAATTGTGTTATTTTTAATGTAAATAATTTATTAGGTCCCTAGTAATGTATTATACATATAAATTTAGTGTGCTTGAATAAATGGGCATGTCACATTCTTTATGTGCGATTCTGTTGTTGCTGATTTAAAACTCTAGTAAATTGAATCTTGAAAATATATACAAGATATAAAAAAATGTACTTGTGGTAGTGTGCAACGACCAATGATGGATCGATGAGATAAGATATAACTTCCCTTTAAAAGCATAATCATTAGACGCAATGAACTCATCATGCATTTGAACTTGATGATGATACGGAGTTGATGATAATTAAGTTTTCAGCAATAAGGCATCTCCAATGACTACTCTTATTTTTTTTCTCTTAAAATGTAAACTCAAAATTGTTCTAGTGATTTCTCTCATTTTTTTCCCTTAAAAAAATATTCCAGTTACATTCTTTTAAATTTTCTCCAACAGTAGTTTTATTTTAAATAAATATTTTTTATATATATAAGTTTAGTTTTTGATAAATATACAATGATTTATATAAATTTTATAATTTTTTAACTAAAAGATTAATAGTTTTATTAAAGCATGAACACACATATTTAATATCATTAGATATAAACGAAATTATGTAAAATTTTAAAAGTCCTAAGTAAAAAATTTAACATCAAATTCAAAATGATGTTATGAATAGTATTCTCTCAGTTTGATGTGTTATTATTTGTATCTTTATTTTTTCCCTCAAAATGATATATTATTAGAGAGAAATTTTAAATTTTTCTTAATTCTTAATGTTCTCCCTTAAAATGATAAACTATTATCTTAGTATAAATTTAACGATAATCTTTCATAACTGATTTCAGTTAAAGAAAAAAAGTGGTTTTGCTGTGATTACTTTCGTGGCGCAAGCCTTCAAACTCAATTGCAGATACATTGAGAATACCATCCAATAAGACATCATTTTTCAACGAGTGTTATTTGGTAATGCAAATTTTATTACACATCACTGAAGTCTATTTTTTTATAACAGTTCTTATTTTTTTTTTGAGCAAACAGTTCTGCTTTTAAAAGAGAGAATACAAGTAGACATTTCAAAGAAAACATTGTGGTTTGTTGTTAGTTTGTTGGACTATTTATGATAATAATTTTCTTATTAAACCTACCCAAACGAGACATATCGTATTAAACCAAACTGAGTGATTTTTCTACTTTTTGCCTAAAATATAATTCGGAGAAAAAATAGGGAAAAAAACGAGACGTGGAGTGTCGCGTTACGTTACCAATCTCATTGCCGCAATATAGCATCCACACATACCCTATGAAGTCTAGTGCATTTTAGTAAAATATCAAGTGATCATGCTACAATACGCTTGAAAGAGTTAAAGGTGATAACTTTCACCCTTCTCTCGCAACCACTTGCTTGTATACTCTGACACATTGCCCCCCGACAAAAAATCCAAACAAATAGAATATTGCCGTCTGAGTTTGCCTTCCTATTTATCCTGCGGCGGCGTCTGGATCATGATTCTTTCCGGCTACTGAAGAAACATAAACAAACAAAAAAAGAGAAAGGAAAACAAAAACAATGGCTTGTTCTCTAGAGATTGTTAAGTTATGTGGGTACTACTCTCCTGTATCATCCATTTCCCGCCATATATCTACAGTGAAACTGGAATCTAGAAAAAGGGTTTTCAGATTAGCAGATTCTCGGCGGTTTGGTCGATGTGTTAAGGTTTCTTCATCATCTGCTCGTAACGGCGGCGATAACCAGTCAAAAGGTGACCTTTCTTCTTATTTTTTTCTTCTTCAAGGACTAATTAGAAAAGTTGATTTTGGTTCTGTAATAGCTGTGGAGAGTTCCTAGAAAGAACTGTCTGTAATTAGCTCTTTAGTTTTTTTTTTTACCTTTGATATCTGCTTGTTAATTTAGTCTTTCTAAGTTAATTTGTTAATTAGTATGCAACTTCTTTGTGTTGTGTTCTAAAACTAATTTTGTTTGTATTGCTTGCTGGAGTTTGATCGGATAAAATTGAGTAAGATTTTGATTTTGTTGAGTTTTTGTAGGTGATGAACCACCAGAATCTTTGTTCATGAAAGAATTGAAGAGAAGAGGTATGACTCCTACATCGTTACTTCAAGACTATGAAGTTGATGTTGATGAGATCAAACCCACTGGTAAAGAAACCTCTAAAACGACTGCAACTACTACTCCTCCATTCGACCAAAGTTTGTTAAACCAGAGAGAGAGATCCTTGGCTTTAAACAGCGAAGGCCTTGAGGTCACATTTGAATTCTTGTATCTTTATAGATTCACTCACATAGGGCATTTATTTGTTCTTTTCTTAACAGGAGATTGTGTTCAATTGTTTGTGTGCAGGGATTGATTCCACGTGCTAAGATATTGCTGATGACTGGAGGGACTTTCTTCTTGGGTTTTTGGCCCTTGATAGTCTTAACTCTTGGCGCCTTCTCCGCCCTTTACCTTGTAAGTGTTCTAGAACTCGTCGATAATGTATATGGAATTTTAGTTCTTAGGTTTCTTTCGTTTATAAGGTTTTGTCCCTGATTGTTGTTGTTTTGTTTTTGTTTCCAAGTACTTTGGAGCAGATTTCGTTCATGATGGAAGCAGAACTCCGGTTTCACCACCACCCTACATCGATCCTTATGCTCTCTTGGAGGATGAGAGGATATCTGGAATCAATTCTCGTCTAAATTAGCACCACCACCACCACCACCACCTCTGTGTGTTCTTTCTTTCACAAGTAGTAGTTGATATTATATTGTTGCACTAAAAAGTATATATTTACTCCCATCGGTTCTCTTTATATTTTTCTCTCACGCCTGTATTGTAAAAAATGTTGCTGCTCTATTCTTGCAACTTTAAAGGGTTCACCAAAATGTAGAAATGTTCCAAACTTTCATCTGCTCAAAGTTCTCATCTGCATAAATTACGCCTATCACGATAGTAGGTTAAATAACAATTCCATTTTCACTTTCAATTCCTCGAGTATGTTCTCTTTAATCTTAATCTGACGTGAGCCATGTTTAATCTAATCTGACGTGAGACATGTTCGAAGTGATGGAAACGAGAACAAATAAGAAGAGAAAAAAAAAACACAAATCGAATCGAAAGTGAAAACCATAATAGAATTCAGACAGCAAGTGACAGATAGTTTTAAAAGAAAACACAAACTAAAGAAAGACTCGTCACAAGAATGTTTCGAGCCCCTTCACGCAAACATAAAAGGATAATAGAAAACAAAACAAAGTAACTCATATTCAAGTAGCCTTCTTAGTACTCCTCACCTTCGTCATCCTCATCGTCACCACCTTCGGCACCAACCTCCTCATAATCCTTCTCCAAAGCAGCAAGATCCTCACGAGCCTCTGAGAACTCTCCTTCCTCCATACCCTCACCGACGTACCAGTGAACGAAAGCACGTTTTGCATACATGAGATCGAACTTATGATCAATCCTCGAGAACACCTCAGCAACACTTGTTGAGTTGGAGATCATACAAACAGCCCTCTGCACCTTAGCAAGATCACCTCCTGGAACAACAGTTGGTGGCTGGTAGTTGATACCGCACTTGAATCCAGTAGGACACCAGTCAACAAACTGGATAGTGCGCTTGGTCTTGATGGTGCCGACAGCTGCGTTCACGTCTTTAGGGACGACATCACCACGGTACATCAAACAGCAAGCCATGTACTTTCCGTGACGTGGGTCACACTTTGCCATCATGGAAGCTGGCTCAAAGGCGCTGTTTGTGATCTCAGCAACAGAGAGCTGCTCGTGGAAGGCCTTCTCAGCAGAGATGACTGGAGCGTAGGATGAAAGCATGAAGTGGATTCTTGGGTATGGGACCAAGTTGGTTTGGAACTCAGTCACATCCACGTTCAAAGCACCATCGAACCTTAGAGAAGCAGTCAAGGAAGAGATAACCTGAAACGAAATCAAAACTAACATCAGAACCCAAAAAAGCAACAAGATTAATGTTAAAGAACTGTTCGTGGATTGGTTATTAAAATACCTGAGAGACGAGACGGTTAAGGTTGGTGTAGGTTGGCCTCTCAATGTTGAGGGAACGTCTACAGATGTCATAGATAGCTTCATTGTCGAGAAGGATAGAGACATCAGTGTGTTCCAAGAGAGAGTGAGTGGAGAGGACACTGTTGTAAGGCTCAACAACAGAGGTGGAGACCTGTGGAGATGGGTAGACAGTGAACCCGAGCTTGGACTTTTTCCCATAGTCCACAGAGAGCCTCTCAAGGAGAAGAGAACCAAGACCAGACCCGGTTCCTCCACCAACAGCGTTGAAGACAAGGAATCCTTGAAGACCAGTACAGTTGTCAGCGAGCTTTCTGATACGGTCCAAGCACAGGTCAACAATTTCCTTCCCAACTGAAAAAAATTGATTTTAAATGCAATCTCAGTTAGTAAACAGTAGCATCAATAAGTTGTTATTAAACAAGGGAGTGAGTAATAAACTTACTGGTGTAGTGTCCACGGGCGAAGTTGTTAGCTGCGTCCTCTTTACCGCTGATGAGTTGTTCAGGGTGGAAAAGCTGACGGTAAGTACCGGTCCTGACCTCGTCGATCACAGTGGGCTCAAGGTCGACAAAGACGGCACGTGGGACGTGCTTCCCTGCACCGGTCTCGCTGAAGAAGGTGTTGAAAGCATCGTCACCTCCTCCAACAGTCTTGTCACTCGGCATCTGGCCATCAGGCTGTAACAATCCAAATCAAAAACAACAAACATATCAGTAAAGAAACACATACAAATATATACAAGGTGACGACGAACTACAGATCTAAGGACACATAAGCAACGAAACAATTTAAGATAAGCCAGTAAGCGTTCTCGTTCATCGATTGTAAAACGAATCAGATCTCGAACAATCAATAGCGATTGAACACAAATACAGATCTATACGTAAAACATTAGAGAAACGGATATATATTAGTCGTCGTTCATCGTACTTTTTTTATTAAGAGACGCGGATCTCGAATCAGCTACATGTAGTCTACAATACATCAAAATCAATAACAGACCTAAATAATTAAATTCCTACGAGCAATGGATAAGCTTGTAGCAGTCGAATACGCCAGATCTAATCTAACAAACCATCCACATATATTCAAACAGCAACAAAATCAATCACAGATCTAAACGATCTACAGATTCCTAAGAACGAGAGAGGGAGAGAGGAAGAGACGGACCTGAATGCCATGTTCAAGGCAGTAAAGCTCCCAACAGGCATTTCCGACCTGGATACCGGCTTGACCAATGTGGATCGAGATGCACTCCCTCATTTTCGTTTCGGAGATTAAGAAGAAAGCTAGAGATTCGCTGGGGAAGATGAAAACGGAGGGCGTTTATGAAGACGCTCTCCTTTTAGATAGATCTAGATCTGGTATTTCGTTTTGCTAGGTTTCCCCACTGCTTATATAGCGAAACCATTCTATCTTTAGGTAACGGCTGTATCGGACACGTGTAGTTGTATTATTGGGTAGCTGCTAACCATGGTTAATGATAGGGTTACTCGTGAGCTGTTTATTTTTCTAATTTTAATATTTGCCGCTTCGGTTCTGTTTGGCCGTTTCTCTTCCTGCTTTTTTGAAATTCAAATATCCCTTTGAATTACGGAGAAAGGATGAATCTAACCGGACCTAAACCGGATCAGACCAATATCTATAGTAAACCGAATCGATAAAAAAGAACTGTACCAAAATCTTCAGAGAGAGAATTATCGAAAGGTTTGAATAATGAGATCCCTGGCGGCGGCACGGCCGTTGTTTTCCGATTTGCCGAGTCTTGTTCGCTCATGGCTTCCGCCTTCTTCAAGCTTCAAGGCGTTCTCTTCTTCTTCGTCGGATTCGGACCTTCGGAATCAGTCTCGCGGTGGCCTCCCTCGATTCTTCTCTGATGATCTTCCAGCGCGCAAGGCACGCCTTATCTCTCTCTCTCTCATCTTCTTATTATAGTTCTCTTTGAATTTGTGCAATTAGAGTGAGAGAAATCACTAAGAACTAAAGAAACATCTGTTAATTCACTGTATATCTATCAGATGCTAGAGTTCTAAGTAGTATGCAATGTGAGGAATCATTCTCTAGTGATGATGATGATACTAAGATTATCTTTGTATAAATGATTATAGGGCGGAATGGTTCGTGTTCAAGGCTCTGAGTTTTGGCATATGGCTAAAGTTCTAAGATTGAAAGCTGAAGACAGGTAATTAAAAAGAAAACTTCATTCATTGTTGCATTCCTCAATTTTAAATTGTTCTTAGTTTTTATGCGTGTGCTGATATTAAATCAAGGAGGCATAATTATATGAAAAATGATTAGCGACCATTTATGCATCTACAGCATGATTAGTTTGTTGCAGCGTCAAAAGTAACTTAGAGTAGGCAAACATGTTCTGTGATTTAATAAAAGTTGCAACTTAGATCTTAGTGAATGTAATTAATTGCTTGCACTTTTTTTCTATGCAAGGGTAGAACTCTTTAATGGGAAAGGAGGTTTGGTAGAAGGTTGTATACAAAACATTGACAAAACTGGAGTTGATTTTGTCGCACAAGAAGATCAGAAGGTGATTCTTCCTCAGGGCATGCAGTGGCAGGTGTTTGCAGCTTTTGGTATGAAAATGATTCTGCTGTAGATTTTACAAATTGGACAGTTTTGTTTGTTCCCTCTTTAGCTCTTGGGTCATGATAACTTTTAAAATGCCAGGCACTTTGAAGGGTGGTAGAGCAGACTGGCTAATTGAGAAATGTACAGTAAGTGTTTACTTCTACTGTGTCCCGTCTTAGTCACGTGTGAATATAGCGTCACTGAATATGCTCATCTTAGGAACTTGGAGCGAGTAGTGTCACTCCACTTTTAACAGAAAGATCTTCCATAATCTCTGATAACCGGGTTGACAGATTGGAACGTGTTAGTTTTGCTGCGGCTAAGCAATGTAAGTAACCCTAGTGTAAGGAAACAATTGATCTGCTAAAATCTTGCTCCTTTTCTTTTCTCCGCATATTATAGTTGTGTTATGATGCTATTTGCATTATCTTTTAATGTATAGGCCAAAGGCTACATGAAATGGTACTAAGCCCTCCGATCAAATTTAATGCTCTCTTGGATCATGTATGTTTCAACATCTCTCTCAACGATTCTAAGATCCTCAGTTTATAGAACCCTGTCTTTTTTTTTTTTTTTTGCAAACTTGCCTTCACATGCTTTTGTGGTTTTCTAGATTTCCAGGTCAAAGTTATGTTTGGTTGCTACAGCCGAAGCTACACCTCTTCTCAATGCAGTACAATCCTCAGCAAAAGAATCCAGCGGGCTATTAATTGTTGGACCAGAAGGCGGTAAGTGCCGAGTAGACACAATTGAATACTCTGTTTTTTATGACTTGTTTCCACGAATATAATCAAAACGGTCAACAATGACAATGGAGCAGATTTCACGAAGAAAGAGGTGGAGATGATGTTGGAAGCAGGCGGCACAGCTGTTGGACTTGGACCACACCGGTTGCGAGTTGAGACCGCGACCATTGCTCTTCTTGCCACTCTAGTGATGTGGTCTGACTCTCAAGAGACAAGTCTAAGTGGTGGCTGAGCTTAAGTGTTTGTTGCCCTTGTCTTGTGTTCTGAGATTTTGTTTGGTGGTCTGTGGATTTGATTGATAAAAATGCTTTTATTAAATTTATGAGGTTTGGTCGACTCCACTTTGAGTTTCTCTAATCAAAGCTTCAATATAAAAATAAATTGATAATACATAGATTGTACAGCGTAATCGCCAAGTTGAATTTGAGAGCATAACAACAATCTGATGAACAAGGTTTTGTAGTAAGCAGTTGAGAAGTTATCAACTCCACAAAGCATGATGCTTTCAGTTTGGTGGACGAGGTACTGAATCCATCCATCGTTGGAGCACAAATGGTGATAACATCATGACCGTAGTTGCATCGACATTACCTTTCACATACCCCTTAGAACCAGACGTGTTCATTCGGTAACAACCTTCACTGTTTCTCCAAGTCTCTGTCTCTTGATGAACAATAAACTCTTGTCTCTGTAGATTATATGTTACCAAACTCTCGTGGTGTTGACTCCATAGATAGACGATATTAGTATCCAACGGATTCATAGCCAAGGGAAAACAATCGTCATCAAGTCCCATTGACGCCATGTCGACTTCTTCCCATGAAAGCAGCCACCATTCACCACTCTTTGACTCGTTGTTATTCAGCTTCCAAACCTTCAATGTTGGATACAGGATTTCAATGTAGATAACATCTTCCCCTGAAGTAGTCAAGCATCTCCGAACACTTTTGCTGTAAAGATGAGGAAGTGGTATAACCAGGCACTGATCGTCGTCCTCAGGGCCATAGAAATCATAAGCTACAAGGACACCAGGCTCTGTTGCATCCAAACCTCTTTCCCGCAGATAAAGCATCCCGTTGAGATTCACAGGAGGGTAAGAACCAGCGTAGTTAACAGGATGAGAGGAAAGAAGTCGCTTGGAAGTCCATAAACCAGTCTCAGACGAATACACGTAAACTCTCCATTCATGCACTCCCATGCCTCTAGGTTCAGTCCTTGAAGTCCTGACCACTTTAAACCCTTGAACAATGTCGTTCTCCACACGCGTTACCAAACCAGTGGGTATACATTGGTCTGGAGGCGGAGGAATTTCGACCCATTGTTCTAAAACCGGATTACCAACAAAGGATTTGTAACTGTAAGGCATGTTATCAGTGCGGGTAAAGAATACATCGATCCAAACCAGTCCATTAGAAGAAGCTACGTAGAAGTAGTTACATCTAGTAGGGAGATTGAGATACCGTTGAAAGGGCTTGATATAAAATCCTAGAGACTTCTGTAGATCCCATGTTTGGCATCCATGGAAGCCTATAGCTTCTGGATGAGGATACTCAGCTCCGAACATGAGAGACCAAGAGGAAGATGAGTTCTTGTGAAGAGAGACGAAGACACGACGGAGATAGGAAGATTCTATCAACGACTTCCATTGCTTGCACACCAGTTTGAGTCTGGTGATGCTTCTCAAAGGTAGTCTCGCAATGATTTCCACCAGTATCACCTCTAGAACTGCTCTTCCTCCAATCTCCATTGAGAGAACTTGCAAGTTGGCCACCACCATTTGTCAACTTGTCATGTTCCTGCCTTGTCATATGTGTTCTTTTTTTATGAAATCTCTATTTTATAATGGTTTCGAGTGCGAAGATAAGAGGTGGCAGGGCCCAAGTTGTCTCCTCGATTATCCAAACAAGCAACATGATAAAAGTGGTTGAAACAAATAATTCAAAATAGATAGTTGATGAGAGGCAAACCAAAGAAGGTGCAGTGAACATAACTACTCTGAGGCGTTTACTTTATTGTGTTGTGTTACAAAGTTAAAAGACTCCAGGAAGAAGCTTTGTTGTTCTTACTTACACGTTTTGTACAAAAACACTGTTACGTAAGAAAATCCTACGCCAAATAGACTACACCAATAGAGATGAAGAAATACATATGATCTTAGTAAAACATAGTATGGTTTGATTCGTTTTAAGAATGAACATTGGACCATTTAAGAGAGTTAGAGAGATATAATACAAGTCATTAATAAACTGATTTGAGGAAAACTTTGGACCATTTAACAAGGAGATGATGGATATCAGCATCCATGCGAGTGCCCACTCCACCCCACACCAACATGTCCGCCATGTCTCCAATAGACGACCCACTCACTTCTTTCACTTCTTTGAACCCAATCCTTTTGTAAAACCTAACCAGCTGACACACATGCATGCAAGTCCGGTTTGGTTCAGTATTTGTCAACGGATTCGGTTCATGACTAAATCGAAATTCTCATTTAAACAATTTAGATAGAAACAGAGGAAGTAATAAAGACCTTAGAATGGTAGAGATCAGAGTCGTAGATAGCAAGAAGTTGAGCAGTGCGGCAACCACAGTCGTATCCATGGCGAATGGCAACAGCTCCGACATACAAACCAACTCCAAGGAGAGACTTGTTCATCACCATCGTCTCTTTCGTCAACCTTATCGTATCCAAATGCAGAACCAAGCCTCGTCCAAACCATGGCCTAACCACTCCCTCTGCTCGTCCAATCTCACTCCCCGTGTCTGCGTTCTTCCCTGTAACTCTGAAAAACGGTCCTAAAGTTTGGATCTTTAAGTCAAGATTTCGAGCTTTTGATGACGTCAGGATGTCAGACATGGACGGTAAGGATCTGGATTCACCGAGGGAACTGGACGGTGAGAGATTGAGTCTCGGTGGGGGCAGAGCCATCTTCATTTCTTCTGGGTTTCGTCGTTCCTGAAAGATGTTAAAAGATAATATATAAGTGAAGATAATACAAGCACATATGACAGGTGGCATCCACCCAGTGAATCAAACATCAGCAACTGCACAACACTCTGAAATCCTCTGTGAAGAATGGCTCACGAGTTTTGATTGCTCTTTGTGAAGAATGTGTGAATTGGAATGTGTTTGCTATCATCTTTTTTATTTGGTTTCTGCTTCTTTGGCTTGGAATTTGCCTTTTCCTTTCCGAGAATCCTAACAAGTTATGAAGTTCAGTGAGAAGCAGAGACTTGTCAGAAAATAATAATAATAGAGTAGGCTCAAGAGATTGTTACTGTGTGAGCTAACCTTCGTTTTGAAGCAGGTGTTGGGGAAGAACTAGGGCCAGATTCTTCATTTTGAAGTCTCTGGGCGAGATGGAAATCGGAGTGTTCTTGCTGTTCCTCAACAAAAGATGGAGGTAACTCGATCCCACACAAGTTGCATTTGTACCCATCAACCCATACTAATGTCTCCATCTGCGGACATACTGAAACTGCTTCGGTCTTTTGTGCACTTGTATCTGATTTGCACTCCTTGTGTTTCCTGAGCACAGCATCCCCTTCCAAGACTTGCAGCTTTTCTTCCTTTTTCTTACATTCTTGTTCTGGAGTTACTGATTGTTCTTCATATTCGACAACATCTTCTTTCAGTTGATCATAGTTTGTGTCATGAGAAGCATAGGAGAAACTCAACCTCTCATCATTACTTAAACAAGTTTTACTAGCATCCCAGTCAAATGAGTCATTATCATCCAGATTTTGTTTTGAGGAATCCTTTTGAACGATGAACTTGGTGATAGTTCCCTGTGAGGGATCAGAGTGGCGGGTTTCTTCATTGAATTGAGACATTCGCAATCCTGTATAAATGGATCTTTAGTACCAATGACAGTATCAACTGTCTTGACGTTTCTAAAGAGAGAAGAACTAAGAACATCAAAAAGGCGCACCTATCAGCCTTATGGAAACAGGAAGTTCTGCCTTCAATAGCTTTGTGGCATGCTTAAGAATATCCTCGCTTGAACATGTGTACCTCTGCAGGCTAACAGCTCTGCTCCTAATCTGATGATTGCAAATTGTCACACTTTCAGCACAAATATGGGTTTCAAAGAAGAGAATGAACTATACAGTTTGCAAAAGCACCTCAAAGGAGGCAGTTTTCAGTTTAAGTGTCAGTGTTCTTGCCGTTAGACCCTCCTTTTTCATGTCATGAGAAAGCATTTCTGCAATTTCAGCTGGCAACCAAAGATAAACAAGTCAGTGGCAATTATGTGGCAATGGTGTTAAGAACATAATCCTTCTTCACTGAGTTAAGTTTCTCTGGATCCATTGTGCCTTTGACTATCGAGTTGCAGGTCTCATAAGAAAGGAAACAACACAAGTTCTCAAAGTACTCACCTAACTTTGAAGATAGCAATCTTTCATCTCCTGTCGCAGCAAATGTCCTCTCACTGCTAATACTTTTACGAGACCTAGCCTCAGGAGTGTCTGTTTTCCCAAGTCCCAGTCCAACAGAGAGAAAAAAATCTACAAAAAATTGTCGAGCAATAAACAACAAAATCTTTCACTGGAAAGCAATAGTCAACAAGAAAGCAGGAGATACTTCTACCTGCAGAAGACTGAGTAAAGAGAGCGTAGAGAAGAGATCCCTTTAGCACCATGTCCTCACATGTTTTAATTCCTAAAGCATCCTTCAGAATATGCTCAGTAACCTTACCGATTCCTCCGATCTGTTAAACAATTTCCAACTAGCATTTCAGAAAACTACGCCTTAGGTTTGACAACTCATAAAGAACTAACTCCCACTCAGCCGTCATTAACAATGCGAGGACTTTGCAAGTTCTTTGTGGTATCTCTATGCTGCGAATATACTTAGTTTCTTGTGAATATACAATCCCACCTACGTAAATGCAAAATTATCTGCACTTTATGTAGCAAACTGAACGAACTTCGAAATAAATGGAGTTATAGTTTCTCTCCGTATACTTTTCAGAGAAAATGTGATTCCATAAAACGACAGGTCGACAGCCAACGAAACAATTAGGGATCACATACCTTTCTTATAGGAAGGGAAGAGATGAATGTCATAATGGTTGATCGATCATTTTGTAGGACAAACTGTCCATTAGGCTTGTTTATGTCTGAGCAAACCTGTAATATGGTAGGGGTAGATTCAGAAAGGAGTTTTCGGACAACATTATCATAGACCACACAGACACATGTTACATATAGAACCAGGGACAGAGATAGACTTGGGAGATAAATAGAATGCTATGCACATATAAGAAGAACCTTGGCGAGCAAGCGGTTTGCGGCAACTCCAGCACTGCATGTTAGTCCTCCAGTCTCGGACTGAACAGAAGATCTAATCTCCTCTGCAATCTGCACAAAGTGAAGAGATGGAAAGAGTGCAGTTGCAGTGAAAAACTAATCAGGTACTGTCAACGAAAAAGATACAAGTATTCTAAAAGAATGTAAATCGTGGAACTCAGACTTACTTCTGCACCTGAAAGACCTCTTTCTCGACAAACCTCAGTTATGTCAAGGTAGGCTTCATCCAAGCTCCCAGCGATGAAGTTAGGATCATAGTTCCTAAAAACTAAATGAAAAACAAATATGAAAGTCAGAGCATAGAAACAGAGTAGTGAGAAGGGTAAGCATAAAACTACACATGTCATAAGAGGAACAGCAAACCTTTTCTAGTTAAATCACTGTAGTGAGTATACTTTGAGAAATCTACAGGAACAAATATCAAATCTGGACACAGTTTGCGAGCAATGAAGCCCGGCATAGCTGCACGGACCCCGAACTTCCTTGCCTAAGAGAGAGATAAAAAGTTTGTAAGCATAAGTTTCAACAGCTGTTTATCCACCAGTTGAAAACCACAGCATCTTACCTCATAATTAGCTGTGGAGATCATGGACAAGCCTCCAACAGCCATGGGTTTCCCCTTGAGAGAAGGATTGCTCAAAGTTTCAACAGCAGCATAAAAGGCATCCATATCAACATGGAGCCATACTCTAGATAGGTCGCGTGTAGCTTCAAGCTCTAAGACCCTTCTATCAACCACCTTCGAGTGAAGGAGAGTTAATTATATGGCTAACAAGATACCAATGAAAGTATAAACCTTTGGTCAGATATATAATGGTGGCACACATACCTTCTGATAGTTAGATAGATCAGAGGAAGAGAGCTTAGCACACCTATCACGCATATGCTCAATCTTTTGTTTCATAAGAGCTTCTTTGCGTTCCTCATTTTGAAAATACTTGGATCCTTTACTCATCTCATACACAATCCTCTGCACTTTCTCCTTGTCAACTCCTTCCATCCCTAAACGACGAGACACATTGACAACGACTTCACAAACTTAACTCCCAACATTTATCCAATAAATAAATAGAGATGCAAGCAATTTTTAAAACCAAAACCGATGAAATATGTTTGTTTGAATTCAGGTTTGATCAAATTGAGCATAATAATTAGTATATGGGAAACAAACCCGACCTGCTTTTGCGTTGGTGAAGACGGTGTTGTATGATTCCCATGGGCGCGAAGAGTTATTGGTCGATGATTCGCCTTCATCCATAGCGTCTCTCTGACTCTTTCCTTCTAAGCTTCCTTCCTTGCTGGAGAAAGATGAATAGAAAATGATTTTGCAAGGCGTGTGGATTGTGGAAAAGCCCGCCCGGTTCACACCTAAACCGATTATATTTAATGTTAATGGGCAGCCGAAAAAACCTTAGGGATATTAAAATATATTTTATCATTTATAAATAAAAGTTAATTTATAAAATATATTATAATTTTATATAATATTTGAAAAATTATTTTGAATTGAAAGAATAAATATAATCTGATTTAACTTATATGGTAAGTTTTTAAAAAAATTATGGTTTGAGTTGAAAGGATTATTAACATTTTTCCGTTATAGAATACAAAATTATTAGATTTAAATTAAGAAAAATGAATTAATTTATATTGTTTAGTTCTGGTTTATATTTATTTTTGATATAGTTGAAGAAAATCTAAAATAAGAACAACTAATGTACTACCTTAGATTTTTTAATAGACCATTTAACCTATATCATACTTAAACCCTTTCTAAAAAAAAAGAAAATATATATCATACTTGATTTATTCAGAACAAAAACGCTCAACTCATGTGGCATTAGCTGATTAGAGCTATTAACAAACACTAGATGCATAGTCCCCGCACAAGTGCGGGGGTTGAATACGTTGTTAATGAGTTGTGTAGTTTTGTGTATGAGACTTTGTTGTTTTTTTTTAACATTTGTTTATCTGGCTTATCTATAATGATGATGAATGAAACATTAGAAGTCACGCAACTTGATTAGTCTGATAAAAGAAGGGTTGGCTGCATATTCCCCCCCCCATAGACACATAAACCCTACTTATTTTCCCCTAAACTACTAAGCTCTTTGCTAACCCACCCAAACATATGTTTCTCTTCATATATCTCCCTAAACTTTTAAAATCCCCCTCTCTAATTATGTTTTCTAATCGTAATTAATGAATCAAAAATTGTGTTTAGAAAAGAGTGATTGCCCACCCGACCCAACATTTAAAAAAACCAACAAATTGAATTGGGCTTATGTTTTCTTTTATTTTTTTCACGACACAGAAACAAGAGAGGGAGAGGGAGAGTTGTCGGGAACAGAGAGAGACACGACAGGAACAGAGAGAGAGACGATGACGAGAGAGACATAAACAAAGAAGATGACCCAGAAAGAGAGAGAGACATAAACGAAGAAGATGACCCAGAAAGAGAGAGAGATACATAATTAAGAGAAGAGAATGCAGAGGAGAGAGACAATGAGGAATGAAGATGCAGAAGAGAGAGATACACTGAAGAACGATGAAGGGGCTGTTGTTTCTCCGTATGGAGAATTTTGAAGCTTGTTTAACTTAGATTTCCTATTTGTTTATGTCTGGGTTTGATTTTTTTTTTTTTTTACAGAGATGAAAAAGGTGGAATTGAAAGTGCTTGTCGTGGCTTTTGTTGCTCAACCTTTGATGTTTTATTACGTTTCAACTTTCAATTGTTCTTTGTTTTGTGACTCAACTTTTCTTTGTGAGATTATATTTTCACTGAGTTGTATTTGTATGTTTTTCATCACTCTCTACTTGTAGAGAACATATATAATTAAGACAGTATGAATCATGCAGCGTGTGGAAGTGTAGAAAACTAGTCAAATCCCAATATTTTCTTGAGTTCCAAACAAGTCAAATTCATGTTTTCAACTAAAGCACAAACAACATGATAATCTCCGTTACTGTAAAGCATAAAGAACATGATAATCTCAAGACTGAAAACATAGATAAGAGTCTTACATATGTCTACAAACATAAGAGACATTCACTACATAAGATAACCAAATAACATAAAGAACATGATAACCAGAGGTCATAGAGCGTGTCTGTTAGAGCAGTGCCAGGTCTAATAACAGAAACTGCAGAGAAAAGTGAAAGAACAGCTCCAGTAACACAACTGGTATGTCAAATTTGCTTGACGAAACCAAAGGACATGGATTTTAGCTGCGGTCATGCTGTATGTGAATATATACAAATATATTGAAAACTCTTTGCTTGCTCTATGAGCAAGATCAGTTTTGTGATTTCTCTGTGGCATTTATTTTCATGTGAAGACTTGTAAGGAATGTGGTGTGGTTGTCAATCATGCCCAATGTGTAGACAACCTATAACAACGAGGATAAGGCAATACACTTGACTACTAAAACGGAGACTTACAACAGCAAAGAAACAAGACAAGCTAAGAACTTAGAAGCTTCAACAGTCGAGTTGTTGCTTGGCTGTGTCCATGATCATCTCAGTTACTAAACCCCTTTCCAAATAACCATATCCTATCATAGTTTTCAATCATCTCTTTACTCATACTAATTATCATAGCTTCCTTCCTCCTCCTTATAAGTCTTTCTTCTTTGTAAAAAAAAAAAAATTCAAACTCAAACTCAGACATAAACAAATATAAAGTCTAAGTTAAACAATCTTCAAAATTCTCCATACCTAACAACAACAGTCCCTTCATCGTTCTTCAGAGTGTCTCTCTCCTCTGTATCTTCATTCCTCACTGTCTCTCTCTCCTCTCGATTCTCTCTCTCTCTTCCCGTCGTCTTTCTCTCTTCTCTGTTCTCGTCATCTCTCTCTCTTTTGTTGGTTCTGGGTCATCATCTTTGTATATTTCTTTCTCTCTCTCTGTTCCCATCGTCTCTCTATGTTTCAGTCAATTCTCTCTCTCTGTTCCAGTGAACTCTCTCTCTCTCTATGTGTCGTGAAAAAAATAAAAGGAATCCTAAACCCCAAATTCAATTTGGGATTGATAATGTTTGTTGGTTTTTTTTAAACGTCGGGTTGGGTGGGCTATCGCAATTTTCTAAACGCAATTTTTGATTTATTAATCACGATTAGAAAACATAATTAGAGAGGGGGGTTTAAAAAGTTTGGAGAGATATATGAAGAGAAAATATATGTTTGGGTGGGTTAGCAAAGAGCTTAATAGTTTAGGGGAGGAATAAGTAGGGTTTATGTGTCTGTCTATAGGGGGGAATATACAGCCAACCCATAAAAGAATAAACATCGAATTCATATGGGTTGATATTTTCATATTTTATCTTTGTAGTGATTTTAGCGAGCATTCCCTTTATTAGTGATTTTATCGAGCATTACTGTTATTAGTGTTTTCATGTAAAAAAAATGATTTAATGGAGACAAGATAAAAAAAGACATGTGTTTATTAGTGTAATTTTCTTTCTGAAATCATGTTGTATATATATATATATATATATATTTTTTTTAATTGTGATGTATATGAGATTTATGGCCGATCTGAATGGTTCGGAGTAAATATTTATTATTGAAAAAATATGTTTTTATTTTATTTGATGATTATAACTGAATTGAATGATATTGGAGGTTAGAACATTCAATCTTATAAAATGTTATACATTTTTGTTTTCCCTAATAACACGCGTGGAGCCCGCAAACTTGCTGATGTAGACACGCTGAAGAGCTTCAAAAGTGTACTATTATTATATAGATTTACCCAAGAAAGGAAGAAGAAGAAAAAGAGTCATTTAGTGTCGATATACGGTACAGCTCATGAGAGCACATATGTAGGCATTAGGTGTGTAATAGTAACACAAACCTAAACAAAATGTCATAAGCGAGAATGAACCCAAGTTTGTCTTCTAATGCAACAATTCCTAATCATCTTATGGGCACCAACAATCCAAATATCATGTGGTGATATACAAACGTTAGGAATCAAATTTATATATATATATATATCATGTGGTAATAATTCTCTTGAGCCCAGAAATCGAAGTCCTTAATTTCATTTTCACCATTGTTTTTCTTGAATCCATTCTTCCTCTAGGTTCGTTCCTAAGTGCTTGAGCAGGTGGAACGTCCTTGGATAGTTTGAGTCACACCATTGCATGTGGATGTCGTTTTGTAATTTTGTTGTATTTTATAGTAGATCTTAATTAAGTGATTTATTTTCTCTAGAACAATATCATATATTTGCTCCAGAGAATGCTGAAAGAACATATCCCCTATATATTATTTGAGAATCATTTAAAAAGTTGTAACCTTAAGTTTGTAAGACTTAAAAATAACTCCAATCCTATGTGGTATAGCTATTTGGCTTCTATTTCAAATCTCAAGGATTCTAGAGCATGTGATATAATGTATAGTCTAAAAATTATATTCTCTAGCAATATAATATTTCGTAGACTATAGTTGGTCGCATATATCAAATATTTATTGTTTCGCATGCTTTCATTAAATAAAACATACGGAATTACCTAATGTGATTAAAATATATATGACAATTAATGATTTTAAACAATAAAGATTTGATAACAATCTGTATACTTTTTCTCATTTTGTTTATTTATTTATTATTAAAATAATTTACACAATTGCATTAATCATATAATATATGTTGTATTTCGAATTTTTCAAAATGAGTATAAATTACTAAAATTGTTAAAAGTCTCACATAAACTTTTAGAATCAAGGTTTTATTTTTTTTTCTATATTAAAATATAATGATTATAAGACCATATGAAGAAATAATTTTAGTTTATATATATATTTCATATCGTTTTAATTAAACTATAAATCGTATGAAAATACATACTTATATTTTGATTGTCTTCAACATATATTGAAAAGTTAATATTTTAATTTTGAAATATGTCATTTTAAAAAAAATGATTATAAATTATTGAAACTACTAAACATCTCACATTAAAAAAATCGTTGATGTAAAATTTTGTTACACAAATATGCAGATAATCATAAAATCATATGAGTAGAAACCTCATTTAATAAATATCAATATTAAAAGTGTGCCATATTACTATGTTTATATCATTTAAATTTAATTATATATATATATATACAATATGTAAGATTGATTATTTTGATTTATTTACGCTAATTACGAATAAACAAGAGTGATAGTTAAATTTATATGCATACGTCAATTTATTACATAATAGTGACTGATTTCTTAGTTATGTAATATATATATTTATTATTTTATTATTTTATGATATGCAGAAAATTATAAAATAAATTATAAATATAAAATACTTATTGTGCATAAAGTGCAGATCTTAACCTAAATATGTATCTTTTTAATTATTTTAAATCTTAAGTGTTTTCTAAATCCCAGGTCAAAACAAATAAACGAAATGAGAATAAACTTCAAAATCAATATTTATATCGTGTAATAACCAAAATATAAAAAAACACAACAAAATAAAAAATTGAAGATAAATAGGATTAACACGTGAACGTAAACTTCTCATAACCATAATTAATTTTTAAATTGTTAAATCATGATATAAAACTGAGTTGATTTTTACTTTGTTAATTTTTTTTTAATTTTTTAAATCATTATGGTTATGTTAAATCATGACATAATTAATTTTAAATTTTTTATTTGTATTTGACAAACTTAAAATATTGTTTTTAAAAATAATTTAAAATTTAACTTATTTTTATAAAATTATTTAAAATATAATAATTTGTAAGAAATATAGTTTTCTAATATTATTATACAAATAAATAAATTATGTTAAATTAGTTTTGAAACTTTATATATTTTAAATGCAATTATTTTACCAACTGCTTCTTAAAAAACATTAGGAAATTTGCTAATACTCTACCAATCAAGCCCAATGACACTATGTTTATTTTCCATCACTCGAACACTAAAAAGTGAAAAGATATATGAAATCGGATCCATTAAATTCTAAGATTTGATCTACAGTTCTAATTACAATTGTTTCTGATCCTACGTATAGATAATTATTTAAAAATTTCAAAATTCTAAAATTTCAAATATATATAAAAACAATTATCTGTAAATTTTAAATTTATCAATACTAAAATGTTATATTTTAATTACGTATATTCACCCTGCGCAAGGCGCAGGTCTTCCTAGTATGGATTATTCATGAGTAATTTTTATACAATTGAATTAAAGATAAGGTGAGCCGGATTGACCTTGAGTAGATTATTCTAGAAAGGTGGATGTTTGACTTTTTTTTTTGAACAAGAATCATATTAAGTTCTTTAGTCACTTTACAACTAACTTCGACTTTGAAGTTCTGATCACCAACATGGTAACGTCAAACTCATCATGCTCGACTTGTTCAGCTTGATTAATCTTTTTATGTAGCTTTTAATGATATTACTTAAATTTGTCTAATCTTAGATTAATTGTGATGAAAATCATGACATAAACATGGTTTCATAGGGAGCCTGGAGGTGGTGGAGATAAAGAAGTCTATAGAACTGCATTTGTATCGCCAAATCTAAGTTACATATCATTACTTTTGTGTAAGTTTGTGATATAAGAATATGTTTTTTTGAACTCTAAGATAGTTTCTTTTAAAATATATTTATATTTTCTCAAACTCAATAAAAACTGATGTACATATTTTCTATTACTCGATTTTGCAACATGGAATGAGGGATTAATTTTCCAGAATCATATAAGCTTCAAAGAGATAATGAAGAACACTTGACCTGAGCGACAAGAAACCAATAGAATAAGAAAATACCCCACCATCTTTTCTATTCAAATCTGTTGGCTTAAAGTCATACTGATCGACAACAACATACAAAAAATTGTAAGGGTGCCTAGGGATCGTACACAACGCCATAAACCTCCAAGAAGTTCTGCTCTGAAATTATCCGTTAGGTTTAATTTCAACTCTTTCTGCATTTATTTATCTTCTTTTTGTAAATCTTCTTCTCAAAAGTGCTGTTTAATTCTTGGTAATAATGTTTGTTGTTGTAGCTATTGCAGCTCGTGCTTGATCTAGAAGACGATTTGCACCATCACTCTCAGTGGAAGCAGCTGGTTCTGCGCAGCATTATGCTTGCTTCTACTGATAGTTTCTTGCAGTCCAAGGTTCTGTATAACATCTTTCTTAATCTTATATAATATTTTGATGAATCTGAAAACAGAGAGGGTGTGATATATAACAATCACTAGTGTATGTTAAAATGGATAAGTTATTCCTAAATGTTGGAGAGATAAGAATGTAATATTTTTCTCACCACCAATTGTTTTAGGACTTATGCTGGTAGCTAGCACAGCACTGGACTCCAACTTGTAGCTTCCAGTTTTCTACTGAATGCGTGAGTCAGTTCATCAAACAGACTAACATCCCTAAAAGAAGCAATGATATAAGGCGCCATGAGAGGCAAAACGACATACAAAGTAGTAGAAAATGACAACCACTATATAATCAACTATGCAAAGTACCTTTATATATGTAGAGTTGCCATTATACGTTGTGTCTCGTATGTGCCGTCATTGAATGTGCTTCTGTTTGCACTTAGCTCACCAATAACGTCTTCACAATATGAAAGTGGAGCCCTATTAATTGAGTAGAGGTGTACTTAAGCGATAGTGTAAAGGTTAGAGGCTTATCAAGGTAGTTGTTTGTTAATACCAGCTCAGCTAAGGGATTGCCTTCGAGAAGGTCCATAGCTAATACTTCTTCCTTGAAAAGACAAAAGAAGTTCATTCCAACTGAAGCCTTGATACAAAAGAACATACCGAAGACTTAAAGATTAGTTTGTAGCAAATATTTTATACCTTCAGTGCTTCCAAAGAAGCTGGATTAGATCTGAATCGGAACATAAAGCGATAGATCAGGCAGCCACTTTCTCCCCAATAACTTGGACTTGGAGCTTTATTATTAAAGATCTTAGTTTATTCAGTTATAATTTAGTGAAAACTGAAAAGGACAAAAAGAAATTGGTTTGTTCGAGTTGATCAGTTTTTTGTGGTTGCTAATTGTCGAACCGATCGGTTGCTACTTTAACAAAACCAAACCAAACAGAGACCCGATTGAATATAAACCGTATATTTCGGTATGATTTGTTTGGTTGCAACCGGGGCATGATATTAATTTCCAAGGGAACCCTAAAACACTTTGACTGGAGCGTGCAAAATCCAAATGGAGACGGAGGAAACAAGAAGAAGATCAATAATCCCAGATGAAATCGTGGTGGAGATGATCGCGAGACTACCTCTGAGAAGCATCGCGAGATTCAAATCTGTCTGCAAACAGTGGAGATCACTGATACAAGAATCGTCGTATCTCCGCAGCCGCTTCATCTCTCTCCACCGCCACTCATCATCATCATGCTGGTCTCTACTGTTCCCAATGCAGTATCGGAGTCCCATCACCGAAGCTATAGGCTTCCATGCATGCAAGACATGGGACCTTCCCAAATCCCTAGCCTCTTATCTCATCACGTCATTTCAACCCTATCCCAACCCTATCTTAGACTACTACTACTACGTAGATTCTTCACATGGATTGGTTTGGATTGAGGTATTCATCGGCCTTGACCAATACAAATCTTTCGTGGGCAATCTATTTACGCAAGAAAGGGTTCACATCCCTCCGCCTCCCCATCATGCTACCTTCCCCACTGGTTTGGTTACACGTCTTGATGCCAACAACGGTGTCGTTTCAAGCTTCAAATTGATTAGGACTTGTTATGATGATCGTAAAGAGAGAACCACACATGTATGGAGGAGAGTGTATGTGTATTCTTCTGAGACAGGGACATGGGCTTTCAAGCGGCTTTGGTCTTCTTTCCCTCTCTGGCTCTATGATTTTAACAATTGCTTGAATCTCAACGGGATGCTTTATGCGTGGGAGAATAGACTGTATAATGGTGGTACTGCCCCTGAAGTCCTTGTATCCCATGACTTCTATGCTGATCATGATCAGTGCCGGGTTATACCTCTCCCTGTCCCGTATACCAAGCACGGTAGGGGATGTTTGACTACTTCATGTGGACATGTTGTCTACGTTGAGATATTAGATCGAAGATTGAAGGTTTGGAAGCTGTATCATAACTACTCTAATAAGAGTAGTAAATTGTGGCAGTTGACAAGGGAGGAGGTCAACATGCCCTCCTCTCTTGCCTTTGATGTCGATTGTTTTCCTTTGGGAGTAAATCCCTTTGATGCTGATTTTGTCTATCTATGGAGTAGACAACACCGTTGCGTGGTATCTGGTAACTTAAGCACACAAGAGTTTACTCTTCATAAGGATTCAGAGACTTGGAGTGATGGTGAAGGTTGTTGGCGCATTAACACCTCCGTTTCTAGTAGGTATATGGATGATAGTCGTGATACTCCTCGGGTTTTTACATTATCACAATTCGTGCTCCCACAATGGATGGATCGGGTGCCTCGTCCCCCAAATTGACATCCCTCTTGCTCACTTTTGCCAACTCTGTTCTCCTCTGTGTTTTGTTGTCTGGTTTATAATCATGATGACACTATATTAGTCTACTCTTTTGTGATGACTTTTTTAGTTACTCTCATAATTAACTTGCACTAAAAACATTAGCTATGCAATATATTTATCATCGGTTTCTTTTTCTTGTCGTCATACTCCACTTGATCAATAACAATGGACCCTTCTGGTCCGTCTGTACAACCAAAGTCATATTGTTGGTTTGTCGTTAAGGGTGGTCTGGTCTCACGGTAGACGCCTTCGCCTAACCTGCATCATATCTTTATTTTAATTTGATATTTTTAAAACGAATGGTGAGAATAATTAACTAAAAGAGAGAATGGGTCGGGCTTGTTAAACTGTAATGATTCTAAAATGTGCATGCAAGACCATGTACATGCTAACAGAACATTCCTACTTGCTTGTCCCATGATATCTATTTGAACTTCCCACTTTCACCACTTATCAAGTCACCATCTTCAACCCATCACCATCAACTTTCGAACAGGTAAACCATATACTGTTATTCTAAATTACTATTAAAATGTTTTATAGATCTATACCTTAAGAGCAAGATTAATCCTAGATCCCTTTATTGGTTCTTAACTAATCTTTAAATAATAAATTTAGCTTAAGAATTTTTGTTAAGAAATTTTACGTTTTAATGGCTCCAATGGTAGGTTCTTAAGTTAGGTTCTTAAGAAAAAAATAATTTAATTTTTTTTATTAAAGATAAAATTTATTATTAAATAAAAAATATTTAACTAATAAATTTTAAACATAGATTTAAAAAACAATATTAAAATAAATGAGAATATATTGAAAGAAACATCCAATCTCAGTTGTTGTCTTCATTACGTCTGAATTTACGTCATATATGTTCAACCAAATCAGTTTCCAGTTGTTGATGCATTTGTCTATCACGAATTTTAGTTCGAACATCCATCATAATGGCTATTTGTATGGGGTCTTTAAAATACGTGAGATTAACATGGAAGCTTGCGTTGTCTTCCCCTTGTTGAAACTCCGAAACATCATATTGAGTGTATCCATCTTGTTCGTCTTCTACTATCATATTATGGAGTATGATACATACTCTAATAATCTTCCCAATTTTGACTTTATCCCAAAAAAAGCTGAGTTTTTAACAATGGCAAAGTGGGCTTGCAAGACTCTAAAAACCAGCTCGACATCTTTTCGGACAGCTTTTGGATGTTGAGCAAATACAACCGCTTTTGGACCTTGTGGTATTGGAATTGATTGGATAAAAGCTGCCCATTTTGGATAAATACCATCGGTGAGATAGTAAGCCAAATGATATTCTCCTCCATTGACAGAGAATGTGACTTGAAGAGCTTGACCTTTTATAATGTCATCAAAAACAGGTGAGCGATCAAGAATATTGATATCATTTAAGGTACCTGGAGATCCAAAAAACACATGTCATATCCGTAGGTCATACGAAGCAACGGCCTCTAAAACAATGGTTAGTTTTTTCGAACCACGTGAATATTGATCTTTCCAAGAGGTGGGACAATTCTTCCACTCTCAATGTATACAATCGATGCTTCCTATCATTCCCAGAAATCCACGATGTTCACCAATATCAAGAAGACGTTGAAGATCGGCCGCTGTTGGTCTTCTTAGATACTCATCACCAAATAAATATATTATTCTTTCCACAAAATTTTCCAAACATGCCCGAATTGTAATTGCACCGAGTCAGAGGTATTCGTCCACCGTATCAACCGCAATACCATATGTCAAGCAACAAATAGCTGCCGTACACTTTTGAAGAGAAGAGAGACTAAGCCTTTCGAGACAATCTTTCTTTTGTCGAAAGAATTCAACTTCATTAGAGAGTCTATCAACAATATGCATTAACAATGACTTGTTCATTTTAAAACTTCGTCGGAATAGATTATCAGGATACGTTGGAGTTTCACTGAAAATCATTCCATAAACGTACATTGCCTTCTTCATGATATCTTTCGATAAAAGCTCGTTTTTTTCTTTTTTTTTTCCTTTGTTCTTCTTGATCACCATGAAGGGTAAAATTCTCAAAAGCTTGATCAAAATATTGATCAAAGACCTCATCAAATGTATCATCAAATGATTCCTCTAAATTATTTTGCGACGAAGAAGCCATTAGATGAGACTTGTTTTGAAGAGATTTTTTTTTTTGAGAGAAGGAAAAATGAAGATAGAAAAATGAAAAGAATGTTAAAAAAAAAGACTTGTTTAGGTTTCTTGTAATGATAATGGTAAAAAAACGAGAGAGACTTGAGAAGGAGAGAAGAAAATAGAACATGAGAAACTGATAGACAATCTTTATATAGACAAAGTGAAGCACAAACAAATGCATCCGTGACCTTTATTTACACGCAAATACAATGCATCCGTGACCTTTCTGTAGACAATAATAAAAAATATAATAATACAATGCTTTTGTTTCGTAGTCTCTGAACACTAAAGATAGACTACAATAATACAATGCTTTACATGCAAATACAATGCATCTCTGACCTTACTTTTGTTTTGTGACACCTCTCTTTACAGAAGACAGACTACAAGACAAGACAAGACAACATGAGCTTTCCGTGACTCTTCCACTTTCCAACTCTAAACGCTGAGCTAGTTGGTGACACCTCTCTGTGGCTCTTCCACTGACTTGCAAAATAATGACAAGAACATGAGACCAGACACACACATAGAGTCTGTGACACCATATTTACATAAAAAAGTCACAGAAGCTTCATTACATTATATAGAGTCTGTGACACCAATTATGAAGACCTGAAAAGACAAGCACAAAGAGTATATGTCATGATCAGTTACTAATCTTATCATTTAAGCGAAAAGGTATAAGAAACAAGCTTTTATATTAAACATAATAAGAAGCAAAGACACAAAAACATAAACTTCAACTACAAGCAACTACATATACATAATTCATACATTAAAACAACAGAAACATAAACCTCAACAACAAGCAACAAGCAACAACAAACATTAGAATAACATAGACATAAATTCAAGCGTGCACTAATTAGACAAAAAATAAGTAACAAGCTTCTTCTTAAGAGCATGTTCGTCCTCACCAAGAGCCTCTTGTTATGCAAGTAGACTATCAAGAGTCTTCATCTTCGAGAGTCTTTCTTTCCTGGCCAAATCCTCCTGCTTGATGCTCCACATCCTTTCAGATTCAGAAACTGCCTTCCCATCTGCCTTCGTCTTTTTGCCAATTTCCTTAGCTGCCTTAACACCGGGGATACGCTCAGCCTTAACATTACTAACCTCAGATGCGTGTGAGGTTTATGATTGTGCACCTTCATCAAGCTTCCTCCTTTTATCGCTTCCATCGGTTTTGGATTTATAAATCTCACACCATTTCTGGTCATTACGAAGCTCCATCCAAGCATGCTTAAGGTTGAATTTTTTTGTTGTTGTTGTTGTTGTAGAATATTTCATGACCCAGTTTGAGCACATCATTCTCGTTTTGACTGCTTGTTTTCTCTCTAGTTGCAGCTTCAAAATCCACACAGAACTTGTTGATACTGTCGTTGATCTTCTGCCAACATTGTTTGCAGTGAGTTGGTTCTCTGATTTCCCTCCCTGCAACCTTAGGACTTGCAGCAAAGTATGCTGCAATCCTTGTCTAGATTGTACCACTTTTTTGCTCATTGCCTATCACCGGATATTTGCTGGTGTTAAGCCAGGCGTTGATGAGGATAACATCATCCACTGGCGTCCATATCCTTCTCTCTCGGCGCTCAGCTTGAGTCTCTTCAACAAAGTTTGAAGAAGAGTTACAAGCTTGACTGCCAAAAAAATGGACTTGAGATGAAGATATTTCCACACTATCTTCTGGAAAACCAAATATAGTTTCTTGTTAACTTTTAGGAAGATCAACGAAGTTGTAGCTAAAAGGATTTGAATCCATTTTGGAAAATGGATTAAGAAGACAGAAATATAAGAGCAATGAGGGCGAGTAGATGAGAGAGAGATGTTCAGAAGTGTTTTGTAGATAGATTAAGAATAAGACGAGAGAGAGATCATTCAACACAACCAACCACATAGACACGACATGTATCTAACACATTAATCACAATCAATATATATATATATATATATATATATATATATATATATCGAGAAGTATTTTATAGCTAACCATATTTATTACATTTATCTAACCCATTAATCACAATCATTATCTACATCAGTTTCTATGAAAAGGTGACTAACATTTCTTACTAACCTCAACCATGATATAACCATATCAATTTATCATGATTTATTTCTGAAAGGAATTTAATTGCAAAGAGAGATGTTGTGCCTATTTTTTCGTTTGTTGAAAGCCTTGTCGAAAGCTTCGTCCACTCTCTGCATACTTTCATCGTACCAAACAAACACTGAAACAATCAAAAAGAATCAAACGATTAATCACTATGCATAATGATGCGAGAATCAACAAAAGAACAAACATATGAACTTCATAAACTTGTGACCAAGACCGAATCGTGGGACATAAACGAACACAACAATCATATCGACTTTGCGAAAAGTTGTTACCTGAACATGAAGGATTTAACATTCTTTTCAGACAGAAACCAACAGAGGATAACATAGCAACACAACAAACAAATCAAGACAACAAATTTATGAACTTGATAAACTTTGATCTGAACAAGGTGGATTAATAACCAGACAGAATCAAGGGACATAAACGAACCGAACAAACATATCAACAACCAATCAAACATATCAACATGATAACCAGACAAACGATACAATCAAACATATCAACATCGATAACTACACATTTAATAACCAGATATATGAACACAATAACTTAGCATTTGAGGCCGAGTGATTCGACCCGCCGTGAGAGAGAGACAATTTCGATTAGAGCCACCATGAGAGAGAGACGATTTCAATCAGAGACGCCGTGAGAGAGAGACGAGTTCGATCAGAACCGCCGAGAGTGAGAGATACGCTTCTTCAAACATCAGACCCAGGGAGAGAGAGAGACTCGGAGTGATTCGTTGTTTTCCCGTCTAGGAGAGACACCGTCAGATGTTTCGTCATTTTTACCCCTTGAGGAGATCCACCCAGAGATGATTTGTGGTTTCCCCCCTAGAGGAGAGCCACCGATATAGGTCGGCGTTTCTCCTCTTCGATGAGAGTCACCGCGAGAGAGGTGGATTGATTCGTCACCGATCATAACCACAGAGAGAGAGAGAGAGAGAGAGAGAGAGAGAGAGAGAGAGAGAGAGAGAGAGAGAGAGAGAGAGAGAGAGAGAGAGAGAGAGAGATGAATCAGAGCTCCCTTAAGAGCTGTCGTTAATCTTGCTCTAAGAATTGTTTTTAAGGGTTTTATTTCAGGTATGATATACGTAATTGTTTTGATTTTTTTACACTGTCAGCCACTTTTCGACTTTCTAATTACACCCAAGATCACTTTAGACTTGCGACATACTTTCTTGTAACTAAAAGACTTCCATACCCTTAACTAAAGAGAAATTAAGTAAAATGAAGAACTAATACTTGGTCAGACCTTTACAACATGTGTTTCAACTTTAATTATTTGCTTTTACCAACACATCTCCACTTTCTCTCTCCATTGATACTCTGTCTCAACTTCAAAGAACACAGGAGAACACTTACTAAAGGAGACGCTCTGTCTCAATTTCAAAGAAGAACACGTGTTAAAGGAGACACTTTCTAAAGTTCAATTTGTGAACGATTTAGATGGATCAAAGGAAAAGAAAGAAGAAAAGAGATTTTTTTTTTCAGATCGGAAAATGGTGAATCGATGATAAAAAGGCTGTTCACACAAGGCACCAAGATCGTCTGCATCGGCTGTAACTATGCCGCTCACGCCCAAGAATTAAACAACGCCGTTCCAAGGTTCTTCAATCTCTCTCTCTCACTCACTATGTAATCGAATTGCTAATGGGAGGCTTTTACAAATCCTAGATTTTAATCTCTATTATCTGTGAATTTACATATATATCTTATCTTAATTTGGTAAAAATATTACTTGTTATATTCTTCAAGGTGACTTCATCATAATTAGAGGACAAATGAACAGTTGATTCCAGAACAACGGCTCTACTTGATGGATTATATTAGAGGTACTGTTTTCTATAGTTTTCTTCTCTCAGTTGTGCATATATCCTTCATGCTTACAATTTTCTTTTAAGTTCTTTTGTTTGGTTTTAAGGGTATGTGGTTGGTCTTGATATGACTGGTAGGGAATTCCAAGCCTCTGCCAAGGTAACAACCTGATTCTTAGTTCATGTCAATCGCTCTTGTTAGTTGTTTCAAGTACTTTTCTTGCTCTTGTTTAATGAATATTGATGATAGAGTCTTTCTTTAATAAAGTGTCTTTGATTAACCCACTTTTTCAATTGTGCTCTTAAATTACAAATTCTAATCCTAGATCAATCCCCTCACATCATCTTTTTTTTCCAGCAAGCCATCGAGATTCCATTGAGGCAAATACGTGAGAGGAGCTGAGTGGAGGAGATGAAGGTATAAGCTAAACCGCCGTTGAGACAATCAGTGAACAAGACGGTGATGAAGACTAATTAAGGTACATAGAGTAACTTTAAAATATTCACATTTTCTTCATCATTGGTTCTATGTTCTTCTTTTCTCATTGGAATTTTAGGCTATTCATTACGTCAAACTTGAGATGTTATCCAATTGGATTATTGTTGAGAACAATTACTCATGCAGAGAGAGAGAGAGAGAGAGAGAGAGAGAGAGAGAGAGAGAGAGAGAGAGAGAGAGAGAGAGAGAGAGAGAGAGAGAGAGAGAGAGAGAGAGAGCTAGATTCGCGTTTCATGGTGAGAATATGAATCGGGAATGGATCGGGATGAGAGGAGGCAGAGACGGGAAGGATAGGATGAGAGGAGATCGAAAAAAAATAGGGTTTACGTCACTCCTAGCCCACTGGAAACCAATAGAGTTGGTGACGTGGATGAAAACTGTCTCTCTATTGGAGGAATAAAAAATCCAATAGAGAGACAAGCCTTTAGTGAAGGTGACATACATGTTATTTTCAATGTCCACTGGAGATCTATTCAAAGCTCTTGAAGAGGCTGTCTTAGTCGTTGATCAACTCCCAGCTTCTTTAACAATGATCTCTTGCGACGAGCCTTTAGTGAAGGTGACATACATGTTATTTTCAATCTCCATTGGATAGGATTATTGTTAGTTGTAACTGAAAGGATCAACATGTGAAGTTCCCTGTACACATGAACAAGAAGAGCAAGCAAAATTTCAAGCGCAAAATCAAGGTACACAAACAAAACACCTATCCTTTAAAATTAATTTTTCAACTCAACATTGTTTGGTTTGGTGCTGCAGTCTATGTATTCAAATATATATTATTGCTGATATTCCCTTTTACAGGTATCTCAAAAAGAAAAGACGGCAAGTGAGGTTTCTATCCCAAAACCTCCAATTTTCCTACTATAGTAAGCTCCTCAACTATATCTTGGTTTAACATATACGTAGGCCTTTTAGAGAATAATGATAGAGTCGTGGCGCATGGAACATCCTCACATGAACCCTTGACAATTCCGTTTAGTAACCAGCTAAAAGAACAATTAATATATCAGTCTCATGTGAACGCCAGTTCTTTTCTTCGCACTTGAACTTAACACAGGTGAATGTGAATCTTACTTTAGGTCTCAGGCATATAACCAAGTTACTGTGGACAATAATAGTGTGTATATTATGTCAGTCTCATGTGAACGCCAGTTCTTTTCTTCGCACTTGATCTTAACACAGGTGAATGTGAATCTTACTTTAGGTCTCAGGCATATAATCAAGTTACTGTGGACAATAATAGTGTGTATATTAATACATGTATATTATGTCACACATAAAGTCTTGGGGAGTCAATCAAGAAAAGAGTCACAATCATCATATTCCAAAACCATGAAGGATCAGGTTGGTTCCGGTTAAGTTGACGGTGTAACTCTCCTGAACCTGTTGTGAGTGGTAAAGACGCAATACTTAAAATCTCAGATACATTTAACTTCCCTTATAGCATCTTCATGCTTCTTCTTTTCCATAAAGTTTATACTCTATTGTTCAACACTTTGAATTAAGTGTCAACTTTTTTTGATGAAATCTTTTGTACAAGGCGAAGACATCTCTGGAGGAAGAGTAGTAATCAAGGTTTCATACTTTGGAATTCATTTACCAACATTCATGACCTTTGTGATGAGACAGGCTGTCTGATCGCACCAGGCAGCTTTGTTCTTTCTCATTCCCAAACACTTCCTACATTTACACCACCCGTAAGATTTCTTAGCATTGTGTTTATTAATATCTTGGTTTTGATCTCAGTCCTTGAACTTAAAACATGTTTATTTTCTAAATTGTTTTGAAATTGCTTCTATTGTTTGTCGTAATCCCAGTTTCCCATCATAATAAGCTTCTATTAAGTTTGTCTTCCTTGATTTAAAAATACGTTTCTTTTAAACAAAATACTTAAACGCTTAAGGTGATGATATATGACAGGAATCACGGCTAACTCATGTGCATCAGCTTCATGTTCAAGGTCACATTAAATTCATCAGTGATCTTACGAGTGATAGGAAACAAATGAGGTATGTAATCTATTTTTTGATCCTTTGTAGCTTTCTTACTTTTGGTCTCAAACTAGCATTGTACTCATCTTTTTTTCCTTGGCATCTATTGTCATGATGTAGTAGGAAATGACTTACGAAGTTCTTAACTCTCGCAGACGTACTGCAGCTTTGTTTATCATTCCTGTAGTCACATTATTTTTTCTTATTCTCATAGCTAATACGCCTGTGTTAAGAGGAAACTTGAAATATATCAGTTTGCTTATAATCATGGTCAAATGCAAACATATATGCCTTCGGGATTTCCATTTTTGGTGAAAAAAAAATATGTGTTTGGAATAAGGGTAATACCACCTTGATTTAAAACTCATCTATGGGATCATCATTACTTAATCAACTCCAAATAACTAAAAAATAAAAATAACAAATCATTGGCAGAGTTTATGATTTTCAGATTAAGCTAAAAATAAAATAAAAAACATGAAAAGTTGTTTGTTTATAAGACACCAATAAATTAAACACCCCTGCACTAAAAAACAAGTCTTAAAATTAATTGTTCATACATATGATCCATTAATAAAAAAATTATTTTGTATAATTTCTAAACATATTAGAATGGGTTTTTAATGGTTTTGTTTATTCAGTTACAAGCCATAACAATACAAGTTTTTCTCCTCACTCAAGTAACAAACCTAGAAATCCCAGAATCAAACGTTGTGGCATATCATGTCAAAGATTGCTAATATTATAAGATATATATATTCCCTCTATTTCAAAATTATCAATCTTTTTGAGAAAAAGATGTTTCAAAAAGATATTTTTTACATTTTTCAATATATTTTTATTAGTTTATAATTGTGAATTATCAACTTTAAATAAATTAATTGTGATTATTAAGTTTTGATTTATTAAAATTATAAAAAATAGTTAATCACAAATAAATAATATCATTTATAATTGAAATTTAAGATGAAATTTTAATAGGTACAAAATTCATAAAATATACATTTTTGAACATTAATTTTATAGGCAAACAAACTTTGCGTAGCGCGGTAAAATCTCTAGCACGCACGGATGTTCCCAAAACCAAATCATATACTGGATATACCTAACCATCTCTAAAGTAAGAAATAATCATGTGGTACCTCGAGCACCCAGTCTGAAACAACAACAACAAAAAAAGAACATGAGAAGTGAAAGCCGAAGAAGTTTTTAAAGAATAAGTGGAAGATGTAACGACAGGTTTGGGGGCGTGAGGATATTCATCGCAGCAAACAAAAAAATTATAGGAAGAGAGTGTGAGGAGTGGGGAAAATACGTAAATCCTTGTTTAATTTCGGAGATGATTAATAACTGCATCTGTTACACATGCTTTGTCCGGAAGCGTTGTGATCTGAAAAGCATGGCCGCCCAACTTCCTTTTCTGCAACTCCAAAACATAAAGAAAAAAAAACAAAATAGAAAGGATATGACGTGTCTCCGAGATTCAAAACAGGATGCCCCCCCCCATCAGCTTCTGAAATCTTCGTAGAACTAAAAGTTGAACCGCCGCCACCAGCTGAGATCTTCACGCCGGGTGTTGACTTCAGGAGCTCCGGTGACGACTCGGCTAGCCGACGACATGCGGCCTCCTCCGAAGGTGTGATTCGGTTCTCTTCCTTCTGGTTCTACATGCATGCAAAAAAAAATCATATATTAGCTTAAGACTTAAGTATATCCATTCTGTGATTTGATTTTCTTAGTAGATCTCAAAGTACAACATTTATCAATTAGATTTTCATAGTTTATTGAATCAGTGATTTGATTTCAAGCTAATTGTCCTAAGTTACTTTATTTTTCAAGTTGTTAGCTAGTTTGGACCACAAGATCAAAACTCAGAAGGTACTTCTCTATTTTTTTCGGACATGCATGTACATTAGTGGTTCGGTGATGTCTAATATTGTTATTTACAAATTTTTTTGTCTCGGTTATTAGACATCTTGTAGTATTATATATATTTTTCAGATTGTTACCTAAAGATAATTATGAGGCTGCTTCAGCTCCTAGTACTGCACTTGACCATTTGAGCAGCAGTAATGCACTGTCAGCAGGAGCATGGGCTGATAGTCTTACTAACATAAGTATAGGTGATCTACTTTGTGAAGCGCCTGATGACATAGATAGTGACTATGTGGATCCACCAGCCACTGAGGGTTCACATTGCCCCCTTCGAGATGTATCATTTGCCTCAGAATTTTTTGATGCTGCAATTGCTGCTCATATACTAAGACACCAGAACAAGCCAAGTGGTCTAATACCGGTGACTTCTGGCTCTTCATCTCTATGGGATGATGAAGATACACGTGATGCCTTCTCCTTCCATAAGAATCGTCATGCAAGCTCTTCCAAGTTGGCTAATGTTAGTACTGGCAGAAAAAATGGAGAGTCTTCTCAGTTAGTGGAGGTAAGCTATATCTCAATCACAAAGTACTTACACAAATGTTTACAGAAGAACTAAACCATCTGATTCAACACTTTTGCAACTTTCTCTTAGGCTACATCCGGTGATGAGGGGCCTTGCAACCTTCTTGATCAGCAGGGAGATCCAATGGAAGAGATTCCAAGATACCCTTGTACGATTGATTCTCCAGGGAAGACCATCTATGGGCTTGCGGATGTTTATTGGGTAAGTGAAGTCTCAAAATCTCATATTCGTTTCCTCTAAAATGAACAATCCGCATATATTCAAAAACACTTGTTTTGCTTCTCCTTTTCCAGCCGGACTCATTAGGACCACTAGATCTAGACATTAGATCTTCAAAGTATACAGAAGATGTTGTAGAAGCCGGAAAACCGGATCGACATAAACGATATAAGAAAGACGGAGTTAAGGAAATAGACGATTATATAAGACATGGAGGCGAGATAAATCTCTTTCCTTAATTCTTAATATCCACTCCGTAGTGAGACGAAACTGTACGAATATCGAGTCCTAGGATACAACCATGGCAGGCGAATCACGCTTCACTCGTGAAACGACTAACGAACTAAAATTCTACAAACACTCTCTTAAAACTTACGCTGAGAGATTGCTGGATTTTTTTTTGTGTAAAAAATGATTAGTAATGAGAGAGGAGAAGACGAGTTTATAAAGAGGAGAAATAAATTTAATTTTCGTAACTGTCGCACCACGTTAGCGAAAATCTCTCAGAAATCTCGGGAGTGGAGTTGAGAAACTTTCTCCGCAAGGTCTCTCCTTTGTTGACTCGTTCTGATTTATTTCGAACTGATAAACTCCATGTTGTTTTTCTTTTATATACATACTACATGTCGTTTATATGCGAACGTCGTGTTGTTTTTTGAAATTTAAATGGCAAAGTGTTGAGCTTAATTTGATCCAAAAAGATAACTTCTTATCGGCCATCTCTCTCTCCGAGCTGTTTAAGCCATGATAACACAAAGGCATATATATACTGCTCTCTGATGCTTTTGCTGGCTGATGTGGGACAAAACCCAAAACCTGGGTTTTTCAGTTTTTGTCCACACCAACATACCAACTTCGAAGCTTTATTTCTTATTCAATTTTGATATGTTTTTAAAGTGTGAATATACCATGTTGTATTACTCGTTACAAGCTTTACAACGAGCTGATGATCTGACCGGAACGACCACTGGTTTGGCCAGAAAAGTCGCCGGAAATTCAGAAACGATCAGCTTTAAAAAACAAAGTTCCAACAATCCCCCACATTAATAGAAATGACTCTAAAAATATGCAGACTCGATAAACTCTAAAAAAAACTTATAACTATTCTAATCTTGACTAGACTAGACATACTTATCGAGAGTGTTTGCGAAAAATTCACTGTGTTTGAGTTGGTGGCATTTTTAAGCCTTGAACCACTTATAGTTAATATCTGTCGGGTTTACTTTACCAGATGGTGAACATGATGTCTTGAACCAACCGGTGTTTTATGTAAACCGAGACAACATGCATAACGCAGCTTCATTTTCTCGTAGAACTTAGTTCTCTATTGTGTTCATTGTGGCCCTGAACTGTTCCTGGTTTTCATGAGTGAACTTAGAGAATATAGCCTTGCATTCATTCTCCTAAAAACAGCCTCATTTCACACTCACTAGGTGATTGACCATGAAAAGTATTGAGTAATACTTCGCTTTAGAAGCTATGGAATCATTAAAAGCTAATGCTTATCATTACGTTTCGTAGCACTTTTATCATCTTAGGAGCTGGGAAAAGACTACTTTGTCTCAAGTGCTTTGGTTAGATCATGTTTGATTTTGTTTTCCCTTTGAACCTACGCCTTGGGATCTCCAGTCATGATGTGTAGGGTTGCAATCAAACATCTTCCATTGTAATAGGCTTTAAACCCATTCTTTTTGATGATTTAGAAACAATATCTCGTGGAAAACCTTTAGTAAATGGATCCGCTAGGTTTTCAGCTGATTTGATGTAGTCTATTGTGATTATACCAGTTGAGATAAGTTGTCTAATGGTTTTATGTCGTCTTCTGATGTGACGAGATTTACCATTGTAGAGATTATTCTGAGCCAGAGCTATAGCAAATTAACTATCACAATGTATGTGTATGGCTGGCACATGTTTCTCCTACATAGGAACATCTTCAAAAAAATTCTAAGCCATTCAGCTTCTTCTGTGGCTTTGTCTAAGGCGGTGAACTCAGATTCCATGGTGGATCTGGCTAGAACTGTTTGTTTGGTAGATTTCCATGATATTGCTGCTCCTCCTAGTGTAAAGACATATCCACTAGTAAATTTTGAGTTTTTAGAATCTGATATCCAGTTGGCGTCACTGTATCCTTCTAAAACTGATGGTTATTTACCATAGTGAAGCCCAAAATCTTTGGTGTAGCGCAGGTAATTGAGTACTCTCGATATAGCTTTCCAATGTGTATGACCTGGATTACTTGTATATCGACTCAATACGTTTACTGCATGCGCTAGATCTGGTCTTATGCAATTTGTCAAGTACATGAGACTTCCAATCACACGTGCATACTCATTTTGTGAAACCGCTTCCCCTGAGTTCTTTGTCAAGTGCATTTGGGGATCTAACGGAGTTTTTGCCGTGCTATTAGAGTAATTTTTAAATCTTTCCAATATTGTTTCAGCATAATGAGCTTGGGTTAATGTAATTCCTTTTGAATTTCTTGTGACTTTAACTCCGAGAATTACATCTGCTACTCCCAAGTCTTTCATCTCAAATTCCCCTTTGAGCATGTTCTTTGTTTGATTGATAATGTCTTTACTGCTTTTAATAATGAGCATATCATCTACATATAGACATAGCAAAACATACCCGTTTTTGGTAGTTTTGTAGTATATGCATTTTTCACATTCATTAATTTTGAAACCATTTGACATCATTATACTGTCAAATTTTTTGTGCCAGTTTAGGAGCTTGTTTAAGCCCATAAAGTGACTTTACTAGTCGGCATACTTTGCCTTCCTGTCCAGGAATGACAAAACCCTCAGGTTGTTTCATGTAAATTTCCTCTTCTAAATCATCATTTAGAAAAGCGGTTTTTACATCCATTTGATGGATTTCTAGGTCTCTTAAGGCTGCGATTGCTATCATCAGTCTTATTGATGTTACTCTCGTTACTGGAGAATATGTATCAAAGTAGTGATGGTCTTCCTTCTGTCAGAATCCTTGAACTACAAGCCTAGCTTTGTATTTTCCACCAGGTTTTCGCGTCATTATTCATTTATTTTCTAATGCTTTGCAGCCAGGTGGTAAATCTGTTATGTACCATGTATAATTTTGCATGATCGAATCAAATTCACTTCTGACAGCTTCGTTCCAAAACAAAGCTTTTGGTGAAGCCATGGCCTCTGCCAAAGTTTTTGGAATATTTTCTACTAGAAATGCCATTAAGAAATCTTCTCCAAAGGATTTTTCCTTTCGAGCTCTTTTGCTTCTTCTAGGTTCATCTTTTTCATTTTCTGAAATATCATTTGTAGAAATCTCGACGTTTGTCTCAGTTTCTGAAACATTGTTGTTGTCTCTTTCTTCTCGAATTCATTTTGAACCTTGTTTTTCCTTGCATGGAAAAATATTTTCAAAGAAAGATGCATTTCTTGATTCTATTACTATATTCATGGATATCTGATATTTCAGATTTATGTACCATAAATCTATAAGCACTATTATTATGTGCATATCCGATGAAGATGCAATCCACTGTTTTAGGTCTAATATTGACCTTTTTTGGTGGTGGTACCGCAACTTTTGCTAAGCACCCCCACACTTTGAGGTATTTATACGATGGTAAATTACCTTTCCATAATTCATATGGAGTTTTGCCAGTTACTTTGTGTGGAATTTTGTTGAGGATATAATAGTGGTAAGCAGCGCTTCCTTCCCCCCACAGGTTCTGGGGCAACCCTGATTCCTGCAACATTGCATTCATCATCTCTTTTAGAGTTCGATTTTTACGTTCAGCAACTCTATTAGATTCTGGTGAGTAAAGGGCTGTAGTTTGATGAATTATTCCATGTTCTTTAAAGAATTCATTGAATGGCCCATCATACTCGCCTCCTCTATTGTTTCTAACTACTTTAATAGTTGTTTTAAGCTGATTTTCTACCTCAAGTTTAAATTCTTTGAATTTTTCTAAGGTTTCATATTTGCTACGTAATAAGTATACATAACAATATTTTGTGCAGTCATCTATGAAGGTCACAAAGTACTTTTTCCCACATCTAGTTTGTATATATTTTAAATCACATAAATCGGTGTGAATTAAATCTAGAGGTTTGTTAGTTCTTTCAACATGAGGTGAGGGTGTTTTTGTGAGCTTAGTCTGTACGCATACTTCACATTTTTGTTTACTTGTTTTACATTTTGGGATTAGATTTAGATTCATTAATCTTTGTATCAATTTGTAGTTCACATGGCCTAATCTTTCATGCCAAATATTAAAAGACTCAACCAAATAAGCAACTGGCTCTTTCTTATTCATTGAAACTTTTGGAGCTACAACTTTTGGAAGGACTGTCATTACATCCATTTTGACCAGTCCATCCTTAACATACCCCTTTCCCAAATACACCCCATTTTTTCTAATCACGAGTTTGTCCGCCTCAAGAGATGTGGCGAATCCATTCTTGCTGAGCAAGGTTCCCGAAACCAAGTTCTTCCTCATGTCAAGCACATGCTTCACATTCTATAGAGTGACTTCACGTATCTTCAGAACCACCTTGCCGCGGCCTTCAATCTTGGAGACTGCTTTGTTCCCCATGAACAGCTTCTCCTGAGTCTTACTTTTCTGATAAGTGCTGAACATCGCCCTATCAGTGCAAATGTGGGTGGTGGCCCCAGTATCATACCACCATTCCTTGGGGTTGTTGTTTTCAACCATAATGACTTCAGTCACCACTGCAACGAGATCTTCTTCCGTGAGATTCACCTGGGCCTTCTCATCTCTGATCTTACTGTGACACTCAACAGTCTTGTGACCATTTTTGTGACAGTAGTGGCACTTTCTCTTGAATTTCTCCACATTCTCATTGTTTTCATTGCATTTGCCTTGCTTCTTGAAGTTTGGTCCATAAACCTTCAAGTTTGCAGCTGTCTTGGAAGGCTTGTCAGGGGAGTTAGAAATTGCCTTTCCTTTACCTTTCGTTTCAGCCACATTAACACTGTGTTCTTTAGCCTCGAGCTTGTCATTCTTTCGGTTTTTGGCTTCCATCTGAAGCCTTTGAATAAGATCCTCAAGTCTCATCTTCTTCTTTTTGTGCTTCAGGTAATTCTTGAATTCAGCATAGCTTGGAGGAAGCTTTTGGATGAGGCTGAGGGTTATGAATTTCTCATCTATGGATATTCCCTCAGCAGCAATTTCATAGCAAATGAGCTGATACGCTTCCACCTGATCCATGATGGGTTTTGAATCCACCATTTTGAAGTCATGAAATTTTGCAACTACATACTTCTGGCAGCCAGCGTCTTCACCTCTATACTTCTTGTCCAGCGATTTCCAGAGCTCTTTAGTTGTTAGAATCTCACAGTAGACTTGGTACAATGGGTCAATGAGACGACCCAAAATGTAGCCTTTGCAGATGAAATCCGAATGCACCCAACTTTCAACACTTGAGAAGACGTGCATATCGTCAATCCCGTGAGGCATAATGGGCTTATCTTCCTCGATGAATTTTTCCAACTTGCACAAACTGAGGAAGAACAGCATCTTCTTCTGCCACGTTTTGAAGCCTTTGCCATCAAATTTGTCTGGCATCATATTCTGAGAGATGACACCAGGAATAGCCGGAGGAGTCGCAACTGCAACCGGAACACTTGTGGATCCTTGAATTGGACTCGTTTGATAAAGACCAGCACCGAACAGGCTACGGCGTGTGGTCTCATCAGGAACAGCACCCACTGTAAGGATTGCATCGGTTGATACAGCGTTCGTCACGCCGCTTGCAACAGGTGTTGTCGCGTGAGTGGAGTCTGAGTGGCGAGGTCAATGGGGGGTGTTATCATCGTTCGTCATTTTTCTGTAAAGAAAATATGAAAACGGATCAGTACTCCATACAACCATTCAACTGACAACATATTATTTTTAAACAAAAAATAATAGTGTGAAATATATTTTCATTTTTGGTAATCTGAACCAAATCATATTGATACAAGTCTGGAAAAACATTTTGCAAACTCGCTTATAAGCGTTCACAGAAACCGTTTAGTGTAGACTTAGAATGTTTCACAAATTCACTTAAGAAAGCATCTGTGAAAACGATTCATATATAAACGTTTTGAAAGAAACAAGTATCTAAAACGTTTCGTGGATGATGCTTTCGCGGATGATGCTAGAAGCAAACCGCAAATCGTTTTGAGATAAGTAAGAAACGTTTCGCGGAAATGATAAAAACCAAATCGCAAATAGCGTTTCGAAGACCGTTTCGCGGAAGTGCTATAGAGAAAATCGCAAACACGTATAGTATACAGATAATAAACGTAAAACGTTTCGCGGAAGTGCTATAGAGCAAATCGCAAACACGGTTCCAGAACCCGTTTCTATACATCGCTTTTTTCAACCCGATTAAAGCTTTAGACAGAAAGTGATTAAGAGTTAAGATTGTAGAAGCCGGAAAACCGGATCGACATAAACGATATAAGAAGACGGAGTTAAGGAAATAGACGATTATATAAGACATGGAGGCGAGATAAATCTCTTTCCTTAACTCTTAATATTCGCTCCATAGTGAGACGAAACTTTACGAATTTCGAGTCCTAGGATACAATCATGGCAGACGAATCACGCTTCACTCGTGAAACGACTTAACGAACTAAAATTCTACGAACACTCTCTTAAAACTTACGTTGAGAGATTGCTGGATTTGTTTTTGTGTAAAAAAATGATTAGTAATGAGAGAGGAGAAGACGAGTTTATAAAGAGGAGAAAGGGATTTGATTTTCGTAACTGCCGCACCACGTTAGCGAAAATCTCTCAGAAATCTCGGGAGTGGAGTTGAGAAACTTTCTCCGCAAGATCTCTCCTTTGTTGACTCGTTCTGATTTATTTCGAACTGATAAACTCCATGTTGTTTTTCGGACGGCGGCGGCGGCGCGCGCGTGGGGAGCCATCTCTCTCTCCGAGCTGTTTAAGCTATGATAACACAAAGGCATATATATACTGCTCTCTGATGCTTTTGCTGGCCGATGTGGGACAAAACCCAAAAACTGGGTTTTTCAGTTTTTGTCCACACCAACATACCAACTTCGACGCTTCATTTCTTATTCAATTTTGATCTGTTTTTAAATTATGAATATACCACGTTGTAGTACTCGTTACAAGCTTTACAACGAGCTGATGATATGACCGGAACGACCACTGGTTTGGCTGGAACAGTCGCCGGAAAATCAGAAACGATCAGCTTTAAAAAAACAGAGGTCCAACAGATGTGAACCTCAGTGATAGCCTCGGGGGTTTGAGCCGTCTGATAGCAATCAGCCTTGATGCGTTTCAAAACTGTTAGCTTTTTGGTTTCGACAGCAAGAAGGATAAGTCTAACATGGTCTGAAATGGAACCAAAGCAAAAACATGTGGTTCAGAATGTTGATAGTTGAAAAAAGAATAGAAGAATCTTTTATCATAACTGATAGCTTCACTGTACAAAAAACCTGATGTAAGTTTGATCTTCCTTTCACACTTTCTTATGTGTTGATACATGATGTTTCTATGTTTACACTTACTGTTATTTACATGCTTAGTAAACTATGATTTCCCTTTTGGTTTCTTCTTTTGTTTATAGAGGTTTCGTGGCTTCATAGCAAATAAGCATGCTGAACCGTGTGAGTAAAACAACAATTTAATTTCACATCAAATTATTTTTTAGAAAATAACTAGAATAGACCTAAAAAAGTTTTTATCATAAATATAGACCTTAACAATTAAAATGACCAAAATAGCATTTAAATATTTTATTTAATATACATTTATACTCATTGGGTTAACTAATCCTATATTTTTTGTTTAGAGTTGAGAAGTGGGGTTTTAGGGATAGAGTTTCGAATTTAAATAAAATTAAAAAAAAAAATTAAAATTTTTAAAATAAAAAGTGTTATTTTGGTTATTTTAATTTTTGAGGTTTATTTTTGTGATAAAAACTTAAAAGAGAGATATTTAAGAGAATGGTTCATTACTTTTTGTAGTCAAATCAATCAAAATATCTAACATTTTCCACTCTTGAAAATCAGTGTTATAATCACTAAGTTTGGTTTGAACTAAACCACCTCATTATAAAAACCAACAATTCTCCCATTACATAAAGTACTTTCAATCTCTCCAAAATATATAACCTCAACAAGACAAAGTCGTTCTCATAACTTGTTAATAGACTACAATCTCCACAGAAAAGAAAAGTCCACGAGTCTTCCATTGTTGTCGTGATAAAACACGTCTAGATTCATCTCCTTCAAAGTTTTACTCTATCCAAAGTTCAGTTTCTCGTACTCAACAATTAGTCCAAGTCAAAGCTTAATATCAACACTAGCTAGACTCTTGATTCTAAGTATAACCAAAAATAATTTTAGCTAAATTTGATTCATAATACCATACTAAATTGGTTTCCTCATTAAAAGGAAAACAACCACTGCTTTATGGTGTTGTGAGTGAATTCAATCCAAACCACCAATCTTCTGAACTGCATTATGTGTTAGATATGAGGGCTTGTTTGTACCATATGGTTAGTTGCTTATAACAACTTCTCCTTGAAAATAAAACACTTAAAGTTATGGTTACAAAACTTACAAAATTGATCTAAGCCGATGATGCAACTACCTTACAAAAATGATGTAAGCCGATTTCATAAAGTGACAAAACTGCTTTAGTCTGATCCACTCGTTCTTATCTTGTCGTCCTCGTACACGAACAGAATGTCTCTACGTGCCCTTTGAAAATTCATCCTCCTCATCTTTTCCCCAAAACCAAATTTGACGGCTTCTGTTGGCCCAACATATTTTCCAAGATAACATAATATAATCATTCAGTATATGTTTGTATAGGCATTTTCGAGTTCTAATATACACAACAGAACATGTATGATGAGTGAGTAAGTGTTGTGAATTCTAGCTAGGACTTGAGATAAGTTCTACAATAAATTAAAAATACATTAGTCAATGTTCATTACGAATACTAACTGGTTTTAAGTTATAACCTTATATATATAGCGTATCATGAATTCATGATAATATAGTTCAAGTTATTACCACAAGTTGTGTGGTCGATAATATAGTTCGAGTTTTTGCCCAAAAAAAAAAAAAAAAAAAAAAGTTCGAGTTCTAATATACACAACAACCTGTATGATGAGTAACTGTTATGAATTCTATGTTGGACTTGAGATAAGATCTACAATAAACAATTAAAAATACAAAAATCAATGTACATTAATAACACTAACTGGTTTTAATATAGCTTATCATGATAGTATAGTTCAAAGTTGACGGCTTCTGTTGCCCCAACATATTTTTGAAGATAACATAATATAATCATTCAGTATATGTTTGAATAGGCCACAACATATTTTCGAAGATAACATAATATAATCATTCAGTATATGTTTGTATAGGCATATACACAACAGAACCTGTATGATGAGTGAGTAAGTGTTATGGATTCTATGTTGGACATGAGATAAGATCTACAATAAAAAAATAAAAATACAAATATCAATGTTCATTACTAATACTAACTGGTTTTAAGTTAGAAACTTATATAGCTTATCATAATAATATCTTTCAAGTTATTGCCACAAGTTGTGTGATCGCTATATCATAGGTTCTTCTCTCCATTGGAACAATTTGATCGTTATGCTCATGTACATGTTGATTCAAAGTAGCCAATAGTAGAAAACTTGAAAGGAGATTATCATGTTAAGCTATATAGGATCCATTATCATGTTAAGCTTAAAATGGATTGGTTTAATTGGTAATCATGTTTTAATTTTCTTCAAAAGAATATCCTTACCAGTTTTCCACTGTAACGAGAAATCTATTAGAAACTTACTTATACCATATATAAATATCAAGTCCGTAGTCTATACCACTCAATCAATATACCAAGAGAATAGTTTCCAAATATAGAAGATCAATGGAGAGAGCAAAGTCGAGAAAGCCTCATGCCATGATGATACCATTCCCACTTCAAGGCCATGTCATCCCTTTTGTCCACTTAGCCATCAAACTCGCTTCTCGTGGCTTCACCATCACTTTCGTCAACACCGATTCCATCCACCACAACATCTCCACCGCTCGTCAAGGTGACGCCGGAGATATCTTCTCCGCCGCTAGAACCTCCGGAAACCTTGACATACGTTACACCACGGTGAGCGACGGCTTCCCTTTGGAGTTTGACCGGTCGCTTAACCATGACCAATTCTTCGAAGGTCTTATCCACGTCTTTCCTGCCCACGTTGATGATCTCATCAACAAAATATCCCGTCGGGGTGATGATCCTCCGGTGACTTGCTTGATCTCCGACACGTTTTACGTTTGGTCATCTATGATTTGTAACAAGCACAACCTCGTTAATGTCTCGTTTTGGACCCAACCTGCCTTGGTCCTTAATATCTATTATCACTTGCATCTCCTCATATCCAACGGTCATTTCATGTCTCTTGGTAACACTCTTAATTATATAATCCTGCCAGTGATGTGTTTATTACATACTATTTTCACTTAGCTGTATATTAAAATTAAATCCATAAAAAGTCACCAAAATTAGGTAATGACTTCATGATTTGAATATTTTGTGGAAGTGAATTTTTACGTAGAAGATATATTAAATGTTGTTAAGTTACATCATTTATTGAAACATTTGTAACTATGTGCATGCTAGATAACCGTGAAGACGTGATCGATTACATACCAGGAGTTAAGGCAATAGACCCAAAGGACTTGATTTCATATCTTCAAGTGAGCGACAAAGACGTAGACACAAACAGAGTGGTCTACAGAATAAATTTTTGAGGCCTTCACGGATGTCAAGAAAGCAGATTTCGTTTTATGCAATACAGTACAAGAGCTGGAACCAGGCTCACTCTCTGCTCTACAAGCCAAACAACCGGTTTACGCCATCGGTCCGGTTTCCTCAACCGAATCGGTTGTCCCAACAAGCCTGTGGGCCGAGTCAGATTGTACCGAGTGGCTCAAAGGCCGCCCCACCGGATCAGTCCTCTACGTCTCGTTTGGTAGCTATGCACATGTTGGTAAAAAGGAGATAGTGGAGATAGCCCATGGGATCTTACTAAGTGAGCTTAGTTTCATTTGGGTTTTACGTCCAGATATAGTTGGCTCTGACGTGCCGGATTTTCTTCCGACCGGTTTTATGGACCGAGCCCAAGGTCGAGGCCTTGTGGTCCAGTGGTGTTGTCAGATGGCAGTAATCTCAAACCCGGCCATTGGAGGGTTTTTGACACATTGCGGGTGGAATTCAATTCTAGAAAGCGTTTGTTGTGGCTTACCATTGTTGTGTTATCCGCTTTTAAACGATCAGTTCACGAACCGGAAGCTTGTGGTGGATGATTGGCGCATGGGGATTAACCTTTGTCACAAGAAAATTATCACAAGGGACGAAGTCTCGTTGAATGTTAAACGGTTCATGAATGAAGAGACTTCAAGTGAGCTGAGAAACAATGTTGAGAAGGTTAAACGTCATATCAAAGATGCGGTTACAAGCATTGGATCTTCAGAGGTTAATTTGAACTCATTCGTTGGTGAGGTTCGAGATAGAATAGAAACTAAAGTGTGACATGTAAATGGGTTAGACTAAGTCGTTCGGCAGAAGCTTATGTAATAGTGTAGTCATATGAATGTTGCATACGAACCGTATAGATCACATTACGGAGCTTTATGAAAAAACTACCTTAAACATGAATGAATACTTACAAACGAAAAACAAAACCATACCTAGATCAAATAAAAATCGACTAATTATCCACAATCTTAGCAAGGTTGTGGATACTGTTGGTGTTACTTCTATGCCTTCTGAAAACCCTGTATCTGAGCGACTAAGGAAACTAGAGTACATAGTTCACATTAAGGTCTAATATTAAACCATTGATTGTATTGTGTTATTCTTTGCTTGAGGAAGTTAGAGAACTCTGTTTGATGTGTTTTGAATTTTATATATGTAGAAAGAGGAAGAGAAATAAGAGGAGGACCTTACAAGGATTAAGGATGTAAAAGGTGGTGAAGAGGATAAGGCGCTGCAAGAGATGACCATACAAACTGCCAGAGAAGTACATGAACAGGCTAGAGCTAGAGTTCTCGAACAGCAAGATGATCTTTGCAAACTTAGCCATGCACTCAGCATTTTAGCCTCTGCATCTGTAAGTAAAAGGAGTTTATGTTTTTTTTTCAGCAATGAAAACATATTTGAGAATCTGTTTGTTTTTCAGTCGGTGTGTATAGAGCGTGAAAATTTCCTGCGGCTGGACAAGAAAGATATACAATGTCCACAAAAGCATAAGAGATTATATTTAATGTTGATCCCTCTTAAAGCAGCTCCATTGCTAGAGCAGCTCCATTGTTGAACCTCTAACTCGATTTCCCAAATTTTAACTTTTTAATATTTTAACAATTTTTTTTCCAGTCGAATTAAAAAAAAACGAAAAAGTTGACTAATCGCGGACTGCCACGTGTCAATGGGGCCCGCGTTTGGTTTAAGAATTGCCTCTTAAATAAGGAGTTTAGTAACCGAATCCTTTGTTCCAAAAAAAAAAAAAAAAAAAGTAACCGAATCCTTAACTGTGTTCTGAGACCCATCATTATTTTAATTGTTTTTTTCTTTATGAACTTCGTGAAGAACCTTGCAATGGAGTTGGTCTTAGCTCCCCACTTCTAAGACTTTTTCAACGCTAGGGGATTTTCATAAGCAAAAGAAATTTAGGCTTACACTTATGTTGGCAGTGCTGATGCTAAAACAACAAAATCAACAGTTATTTGATTATTGATCATAAGATAACAGTTGAGAAATATATAAAGAGGGATTAGTAAAGTACGCAGCCTATTCTAAAAATATATATTTAGACCTACGCTTGGATAACTAAGCATAAAAAATTATCAAACAAATAAAATTTTCTAAATTGTTAAAATCAATATATTAGATGTTTAATATCTAAGTTAATTCTTTTAAAAAAAGGACTTTCCTATAAATAAATTTGAAATTTAGATTTTTTTGGAAATTATGTAAAATTTCAACTAACAAAAAGATGATTTCTTAAACATATATAATCAATATTAATATAAATGTGCCAGAAGAATGTAAAGTATGGATAAGAAAAGGATTGAAGACAATAATAACTAAAAACTGAATATAATTAAACATATAGAACAAATATTGGAAATATAATGGCAAAATTTACATTATACAAATATAAAGTTCTAAATCGAGAAAAAATGAACTAAGGCGGAAACTTATACCTAATTACAAAGACGAAATAATACATGCAATAAAAAATAAATTTTAGTTTGTTATAAATAAATGAAGGTTGAAAATTTAGTGGGACTAATTAATAGGATGAAATAAGTATCTTTATAAAATTATTAAACATTGACAATTGGAAAATTAATTAATGTTTGTGAAAAAAGATTTATCCTAAAATATATAAAGATTAAGAATTCATATTAATTAACCATATGCGAAATGTTTTTAAATTAATTTCAACAAAATAAAAAATTAATACTCGCAGAAAACTATTAGTAAGAGTTTACTTTAACTACTCCATGAAAAAAAATTCAATGTTTCAAATGAGAACTAACAAAAGAATTACAAGATATTTGCATGTGTTGATAGACATTTGATTTTATTTAATTAAAAAGAAAATAACCAAAAAAAGAAAGATGTTAGAGGAAATAGAAGATATGAGAAAATAGAGAACACTTGTGATACATGAAATCTTAGAGCTATTCACTGCGCTATATGTTGAGATGGACACCATCTTGGGTATTAGATCTAAAGAAACCGAATAGTATAGGACATAAAAAATATTGACAAATATTTATTTATTATTGTTTCAATCAGTTATTTAAATACATAAGTTGGTAACAAAACATAGACTATTATGCAAGTTGAGTCAAAAAGCTCAATCATGAAAATTTATATACTACATTATCATTTCATTTTAAACAAAAAAAAATATTCATTTCTCAAGTTCAAATGACTATATTTTCTTAAATGTATAATTATGGTGGTCACACAAATTTCTATGTCTTTATTATAAAGTAGTATTTTGATCTATTCCATGCATACAATTATGGTTCATATTGCATAGTCTTTGGAAAGTTGAGGAAAAAAAAACTAAGCTCGCAATTATTATTTTTAAATGATTAAACAATAAATAAAAACTTCAGTTAAATATGTATATGGTTTTGACATAAGTTCATCATAAAAATATGTCTACTAAATTATTTTATTGTTTGTTATTAAAAGTGATGATCTGTGACAAGAAGCGTTTAAAAACAAAACCGGCTGACTGGATCATGACTCTCTATCTTCTAAATAATTTTGAGTTGTGCTAAAAACCAACCAATTCGGTTTAAGAACCGGTTACTCGCTAAAAACCAATGGTCCAGTTTGATATTAAACACTGGTTTTTTTCAAATTCAAGTTAAAAATGTAAATTTAAAAAAAAACTTTCATAAAAACCTGTATTTCTTAATATCTATTTAAATAAATTATTTTTCATTATATTTTATATTATTTTTGAAGTTTTCATTTTATTTCCATATCATTTTAACTTCAAACAAGGATAAGAAATCTTATAAAAACAGTTTTATAGTTATACATATATATATACTTAACTTGAAATTAAATTAAACTTACAACCTAGTGAGACCGGTGTTACTGCAATGTCAAGTTCATGTTCGATTTGGTTCAAAACAGTGATGGCAAGGACAAATTAATATCATCCAGTTTATAAATAAACATTATTAATAACAACAAAATATATACAATCTTAAAATTATATAATATCATTTTAAATTTAAATAAAAGTCAATCATTTTCTATACTTAATTTTCAGATTTTGATAGTGATTATTTTCTAACAACATTTTGAAGATAGAAAATATAAAGCTACAGATTAAAATATTACAGTAATTATTATGTAAATTATTTATACCAAAAATAAAATGAGGGTTCTGTTAAAAAAACTAGAAAATCTATATTTTGTAAAAAAAATTGTCCTTTATTAGTATTACTTATGAAACTCTTACTTGCATTAACTACAATAATTTTGTTAATCGTTATCTTTCTATATTTAATTTAATATTCTATTTCTTCTGCTTTTAATTATAAATTTAATTATACAATATATTATATATAAAAAATTGAAAATTTTATATAAAAGATTAGCCGCGCGTAGCACGGCCAAAAGATCTAGTCTATAGTTAAAAAGGTAAAAGGTAAACAAAGTATGTTGAAGTTGACCCAACTTTCCATTTGCTGAAATATATTTATTTGTTGTCGTGATGATAAATTATTGGAGGAAAGTAATAAAGTCTCATTTTAAAGCACATGCACAAATATCCTAATTTTTTTAGAATCACCACAAATTGGAATGATAGAGAAAACGAGAAAGATTCATGTTTAGATTAAGACCTAACCTGATCAGGTATGTTTTTTTTTTATGTGTGTATAATCTTAAAGGAATGTAGTAATATTACTTTTGTTTAGTTAAAGATCAAAATATATATGCTTTTGTTTTTCTTTGTAGATTTTAAAACTAAAATGTATAGCATCGAAAATGAAGAAATGTAAAAGAATATTACGGAAACAAAAATATTTTTGAAGAGAAGAAGGTCAAAATTAAGGTTGACATTTTAATTATACTTAGAAGAAGACAATTACTAAGGTTGTTTCTCACAGTCTTATTTTGTGTCCCTCAATTGGACATTCAGAATTAATGATTTTTGGTTTGAAAAGTATATTAATACATAATGTTTATTTTGTGTTTATATTGGACTGTTGAAAGATTAAACAACATACTTTTAAAAAAAAAAATAAGCTTATCAATATCTTACCATTTCGATGGTATCTCTGTAAGTGAAGAACATTTCTTTAGAAATATTTACGTATATCATTGCTCAATATATAGTATAGTGAGCTGAGAGATTTCAGGGAGATTTCAGGGAAGTTCCTAACAAATAGGGGAATATACACAGCATATTCTAACTATAGAAGAAAATAATACTTATCATCTAATACCCTCCCTCAGTTGGAGCGTCGGTGCAACAACGCCAAGACTGGATCTGAATTTTGTGAAAAGGGAAGTTGGTAGTCCTTTAATTAAGATGTCTGCATATTGAAGAGAGGATGGTATGTGCATGACTCGAGCTTCACCCCTTTGTACCTTCTCACGTACAAAATGTATATCGATCTCTATATGTTTGGTTCTTTGGTGCTGAACTGGATTGCAAGACATGTATACTGCAGTCACATTGTCACAATACACCAGTGTAGCTTGATGTAGCGGTCTCCCCATTTCGGGAAGCAGGTTACGTATCCAGCAAGCTTCAGCAATGGCGTTAGCAACTCCTTTGTACTCTGCTTCTGCGCTTGACCTGGAGACTGTGGGTTTCCGTTTCGCGGACCAGGAGATGAGGTTTTTTCCAAGATAGAGGCAGCAGCCTGAGGTGGAGCGTCTCATTGTAGAACATCCAGCCCAGTCCCCATCTATGTATGTTGTGAGTTTCATGCCTTGGTTTCGTAACAGCTGAAGTCCTTTTTTTTTGTTCCTTGGATGTATCG